AACCTTAGTTTCAATGTTTAAACTGAGAAAATGGTCGTTATATTCAGATAAACTGTATTATATTTTAATCAGGAAAGTGTTCTGGAATGGTATGGTTTTCATTCTAGTTAGACAGTATGAAGTACACTGGTTGAAAGCACTTAACATGCAATGTATTTTATATGGTCGCATCATTTTCGATAAGTTATTGGTTTATAAAATCTTACTACGAAAAGATCGACTGATATTTTGCGATATGGAAGAAAATTTGTTATTCAGAAAAGTGATTCTAATAAAGTTGAGTTCCCTTAGCTAGACAGTTGAATCGTTGAGTTTTCACAGATTTCGTAGGCTAAAGAACTATTTTTACCTAATTAAATAGTCAGATAAGTAACATTATGTCCAGTTGTAGAGTCTTAAATGAATAACTGGAATCGATCAATAGGGTTGTGAAACATACACTGATTATTAGGTATGGGGTATATCTTACACATTCAAAATTACTGTCTATCTTGATACAATTTGATGAGTGAGTAACAGGAAGTTGAAACAATGCCTTGGAGTAGTCAGACCAATGTTGTAACAGAAACTCTTTCCTATTAAAAATCAGTCTGAACTTTATACACAGAAATTATGCTATTAATATAATAAGCAACATGATTTTGAATTTTGGGAATCTCGTTACATTCTCATTCATTATCAATGTCTGCTTGATGTACTGGATCTATTTATTTAAAATTAAAAAAAAAACATAGATGAAGTTAGTTTATGAAAGTATTACAATCGGTTAGGAGACAATTAAAGTGTTCTTTTCTACATAGTTAAACATTTAATATGAAATAAAAATATACTCAAAATCACTTGATAGTAAATTTGGGACCTTTAATTATGATTTCATTCGATATAACGAAAGAACTAGGCAGTGTCCTTGGACTCAAATTGTTTGTAAGTATTTAATTCATCACTACAGAGAAACAATTACAAAATGGTATAACAGCATAATAATGCAGTCCATTTAGAACACAAATGAATTAAATAAACTGAATATGTCCTATAGCGTGTAAATACTACAGATTGGTTATTTGATTATCATGTGATAGACAGTCAAATATAGTTATTTAAGTGAACCATAGATGAAAGTCGGAAGTAGTTGTGTTTTTCTTCGTCTAATTTCAATCCTATTTATTAAAGATCGGACAAAACTGGATAACTATGAAGAAGACCAACATTTTAACAACTAATCTGTGTTAATCCTTCAGTTTTATCGTTCATAGTGTCAATGGTGCAGTATTTACTGTACTGCAAGTAAAATATACAAGTTAAATTTTGAAAAACGATTAGGACACTCACATCACTGAAGGTTGCCAGTATAAACTTTAAGTGAGAGGTTAAGGACAGAGAGATCTCATGTTTTTATTTTCTACTTGGTATCCTCGAATAAATAATATTTTTTAAATTTTTTCAAGGATGCATGAGTATCTGTATCTACCTTTGTACCTTTTTAGAGAGTTCTATATTTTAAGAGTGTTACCTAATTTATTTTCGTACTATTGCCGTTAAATCATAATGTTTGTTGACAATGGACTTCTCTTGATTATATAACACAATAAGCATATATATATATATAACAGTCTGATATCTTTGTTCTACTAGAATTTGGAATTCAAATGCATTTTCTAGTATTTTTAGGATTTTATGGGTGAATATACGTAAATATTTTCTGGTTTTATTTCGGTGGCTCGAATTCGGTACCTTTCCATTCAAACCTTAGAATACTTTACAGATAGCTATTAGTATTACTTCAAATTTTTTTTATTTTTAAGAATTATGATATATTTTTTAATTGGGATGTATATAGTTGACTTTATTTCAATTCTCAAAAAAGATTTCGGATGTCACATAAACATTTTAAGATACTATCGACTTTTCATTAGATAATTAAAAACATTCAAGATAATAACTGTACTGTGAGAAGTTGAAATGAAAATGTATTGGTAAATCTCATACTTCTTTCTAAAAATTACTGTACGAGAACAGAAACTAGCTAACAAAGCTGTCTTTAAAGCTGTAAACTTATAAATTCCACCCATTTACATGTCAAAGTTCTAAAGGTTTTGATTGGTTAATTGGAATAACTAATTAACTCGATGGTCATTGGTTCAAATTTGAATCGATAAACGTTAAGCTGTATGATAATAATATGAACAGAAATTATACCTAAGTGCTAGCGTTAGACAAAAATAGCTTTGGGAATGATTTTCGGCTTTTACGAAATAAGGGTAGATTAAAAATACTAATATCTAGGTTAGGTGAGAATTGGGTTAGTATACTACTATTAAATGACTTGAATTATTAACAATAATCAGTAAATAAACTATTGAAGTTGTTCTGAAGTTAAAACCACATATTTTCTCTCAAAATCTAAGTTCTTGCTTGAACTTGTCATTACTTCTGAACTTGTACAAGATTAAACATAATTTCAGAGAAAGCTTATTACAGAAACAAAATTTAACAGTTAATAAATCCATTAATTGAAATATGGCCACAATCTAGGATTCTGTAAACCGAAAACAATAGATTTTGGAAGTAGTAATTGTTGAGGACATAAATATCATGTACGCCGTCACTGAAATAACTCGATGAATCTGTTTTCTGTGAAGTAGGGGTGTCTACAGTTGATTGCTTAATGAAATAAATTGTTTCCCGTGTAAACAAAAACAGGAAGGCATAATATCATTAGAATATTTTATATAAATAATTTCATTTTTTAATTTGGGATTTATTTTAAGAGATCATAAGTTTGTAGAACTGAAACACGTAAATGGAAAGTAAAATTTTTAGGACATTTGTTTTTATAAATACACATACCTTTAAAATTAGTAGCAGAGTTTCACAGGACTATATTTGATTTAGTAAACATAAAACTGCTCACTTTTATTGACCGTGAAAATGTAGTTAAAACATTCAAAGAATAACAACAGTTATTCAAGTAATTCGAAAGTAATTCTTAAGATGGAGTAACTTGAATAACACTAATCGCTTAAAATAGGTATATACAGTGGTTTTTTATTTAAAGTACTATTCCATAATAAATTATTCTAAACCATTTACCGAAATAGTTTTGATTTTAACGGTAAAAGGCGGAATTAAATAGGTATACTTTTGCTTATTTTCATAGTTTGGAGAAGTTTGAAAACGTGTTTTGTATTTGAAAAGGACTCTTGAGCTTCAGGAGACAGAATGTATTCAATACAATCCCGCTTTTTTGAAGAACAACAATAATTTATCCTTTGCTGCATTGCAATGAAATACATTACATATGTACTGATTGGATTAGTCAGAATTTTCAGTCGAGACTGTCATTTCTGGACGACCATTGAGCGATGTTTAAGTTATCCGGAGAAAATTCACCTACCTACTAGGGTTAAAGAGGGTTGCAGATTAATATGAAAAATTAGGATTATCATCACGAACTGCGATCAATGTAATGCCAAAACGATATTTAACCATTTGAATTAATGAATTTTAATCCGAAATCCAAGACATACTATCTTAAATTTCATTGGTTCACCCATAAATTATGGTTCCGCCACTTGTTTTGAGGGAAATCTCGGATTATTGGTTTATTTCATGCACATCTATTGGACATCATGAAACATTTGTTTACCTTAAATAAGACGGTTAAAAACCTCTAAACGTGGTAAGCAAAGATGGATAGTGGCCAGCAGTGGAATCCAGGACACGCGTTTGTTTCTATTTGGAACTCGTCAGCTGGATGTATCTGCATCTCAGAGTTGGTGTTCACTCTGAGACTCGAACCCAGTACCTTACGCTTCAAACGCAATCGCGTTATCCATTCGACCACTGAGTCCTGATAGCCACTTGCTTGTGCAAACGCGATTGCGCTTGAAGCGAAAGGTACTGGGTTCGAGTCCCAGAAAAAACATCAACTCTGAGATGCAGGTACATCCAGCTGATGTGTTCCCAAATAGGACGAAACGCGCGTCAAACTGGATTCCACTGCTGGCCACTATCCATCTTTGCTTACCATGCTTGTGAATTTAGGCTATATCGAGTCAATACGCACAGTAAGCACATATGTCAATTAGAGACTGACCGATTGCAGTCCTAAAAACATCAATGGGAAGATTCAAAGAAAACAATATTAAGTGAATATAAACCTCTAAATGGTTTCCTGTAATGTACGTTTACAAATGAAATAAATATCATAAGATGTAAAACTAAACTAGGCACTGATAAAACCACTAAATCTGTTTCTACAAATCAAAGTGATTACATAATTATTTGTTTGAAATTCTGATGATTTGTAGAACAGATGTGAATACTGATTACGTTTTTATTTGAATGGAACTTTAATTTCATCTTCATAATATCTTTTATCAGCTATTTTCTTGGCCAAACAGCTATTTTGTTTGAAAGACTATCCGATTAAAAATTCATCAGTATAGATTAACATAAGAGCATATCAATCTCTAAGGTGTTCTATATTAACCTATAAACTAGTTTCATATTCCAGATGCCGTTATACCAATCATTTTAATCACATGATTCACATAACCAGTTTTAATAAGTATGCATGACCTTAACTAAAACGAGCAATCCAATTCACAGAATGAAACCACTTAATTTATACGCCTTCTGTGATTATTGATGACAAGTTACTGGTTTACAGATAATCTAGCAATGAAATCATTCCGCTCGGAACACCAACCCTGTATATCGGGCCATTAGGAAGGCCCATGGACCGAGGTGTGTTAATTCTTAGCTATAATTATCGGATAGAACGGCATAGATACTATCCTCGTAGCGATTGGCCAATTTTTAGAATATAAAGTTTTAGACCTATTAGGTTCAGCCAATCAGATGTTAGTTACATTGTCTGAGCCTTCAGACAATTTAGATCGATCTGCCAACACAAGTAAAGCAGTTCAAGGTCATTAGCTCTTGATTGGTCACTTCACGGAGCCAATTGAGTGACTGACCATAGTCCAATGAATCAAGGTTCGGTTTTCGCTCTCAGTAATCATAGTGGTTGACTATTTGGCTGATCTGTTTGTTTTGATCCGTGAATTGATGATTGTAAGGAATTACTTTATGAAATAGTGTTTGGATTTTCAAGACCATTTTAACCTTCATATTGGTGGGACGAGCTGTATCTTGCATTACTTTTGACAATTTGTCATGCTTTCACATTTCTGTGTTTAAACCCTACTAAAACGTGAGTTTCAGCTTACAATGTTTTCTGTACTATATATTTGCTAGTCTGAGCGACATTTTCATAACTACCTGAGTTTGTAGTATTATAATTTATGGTGTGTTGTAATTACTCAGATCGCTGCTCAGAACAACTTGAAGAGTGATATATAACTTGTCGAAGTATTTTATTGAGAGACTTTTTAATAATGAAAGGACTCTAATTATGATAAGTTGACTGTAAACTTGAAACTGACGCAATATGTTTATTGTGTTTTCGAAAAGCTTTCGTATTCAAGTGAAATGCATTCATGCCGGCGCCAAGCTATTCATTCTATTTAAGCCTATATTTGGGGGATGAAAACAGATGGATATCTTTCAGTGCTCATCGTTCGACACCAGGTTAAATCTGATTAAAAGTTGGGTTAGGTATCTCAACCGATCAAACATAGGGTTAGTTGCGTAGATGCCGCTTACATAAATTCTCTCGAATTTCGTTTTATTCATTTGTAACGTAGTCTGTTATACAATAACATCCAACTTGTAACACTACTATGTTTTCAGTATGCTTAGTTCGACGCAGTTTCAGTGAAACAAACAGTCGAATGAAAGATGGATACTGTACAAATTCGTTACTTTGTTTAAATACATTATCATCATTGTTAAACTGTGTAAAGTAATGATATTTAGAATCTTTATCTGAACTAGTTACTATGTGGTTTGTTCATATGCACCACTATTTGGCAGAATGATTTTCTTGTCTGAAGTACTAGTAGTCACTGAGACACTATCCACTGTTAGGTTCGTATGAAATGAAAATGCCGGAATTTCCAATACTTTGGAAATTCCATATTTTGTGATTTAGAAAGTACTCAGAAACATCTTTACTGAGTTTCACCTCGCACTAAAGTTGGAAGACTTGTTTGAGGAACAATAAAAAGTTAATGTTTTGTTTTCATCATCATTTTACACTATAATTCGTCCATGCGATCAGTCCAAATACTTCAGTTAATTTCGAGATTTAGATTCACTAATTTATGGTTGACAATATCTAGTATACAAAATGGTTTCATATAAATTGTTTCTCAACGATGAAGATACCTTAGAAATCAATAACGGGAATCCGCAAACTATTAATAAGTTGATATTAGTTAAAAAATCATTTATCATTATGCTTTAAATTCACTAATTATTTTGTAAAAATACTGCCATCACGCTGATAGATTGGATTAGATTATTTACATAAATGCATCATTTTTGAAATATCCCATGGTTTCTTGTTTGATAACTTCCTAGTTATTTGCAAGGATTGATTTTTTAAATTCATGGGAGTTATAGTTTTACATTTAGATTACACAGAGAAGTTTATAATACCTAGTAACATTCTTGTTTGTTAGTCTTAAGCTGTTATTGATTATTTTTGTTTTTTTGTCCTCATTTTTCTAAAAATTAGTTGTACAAAAAATGCCGAATCCGCGGGAGTTTGTTGGAGCTAGTTCAGGTTCTAGGAGAGGACGTCGTTCATATCCAAAGGTTGAAACTTTGAATAAAGGGTTAAATTGTGAACCTATAATATTTCATCGTGAATATGCTAAACGAATTTTACCTCAGTCTTCAAGAGGTAAACCCAGAGGCAAAGCTGGTCGCCCTCGAAAATATAAAGTGGAGGTTTCGAAAACTTACCAAGATTCTCCACCTATTTTTGAAACGTTGGATTCATTTGCTCGTTCTACTAGTCTTTCATCAGATAAAACATCATGTAAACGTCAACGCAGATTATCAAAAGATGATCCTAATTTTATTCCTCGTCTTACTAGTCAGAAGTCTGATCGATCGAATATTAAGATCAAGTCAGGTATGAATAAACGTTTTTTTAGCTTTATGGACTGCTAGAATAACTTGACCAGTAGGTAATTCAAAAAGCATCATTAACTTTAGTTCAAGTAGTTAACTGGTCTGTAGCTAATAAACAGAACAGTGAGCAGTTAATCTGATTAAACCACTGTCTGCTTACAATTAAGAATATTGATTTATCTAGTTTACAGCTTAAATAATCTGTTTGGTCAGTTGATAATGTTTGTTTGTTTATAAATCTTGATTGAATATGTTTGTGGAGATTAAATTACTCTGGAGAAAACTTTCATTCCTACGAATTAAAAAAAAAAACACTCATCATTCCAGCCTAATGGCTTAGAGAAGTTATGTTTTGGTTCAAGACATGAATGCGGTGAACTAGATTTTAAGAGGAAATCATTAACAAGGGCTGCTCAGGAGTCTTGGACGAGAGTGAACCATATGTACGATACTCGTTAACTTTTATTTAATTAATTGATATCAGATAATAATTAATCTCATCTTAAAATTTCAATTCACCTTCATTTATTTTTCTTACTAACTTATTTAGTAATGTCATATCACACTGACTTATTCATTTTGAATTATTTAGATGAAGCTCTCTACAAACTGTCAGTGTCTCAGTCTTCTGAACAATCAAATGATGATCCGTCTGTTAAAGTTAAAAATTTTACCTGTCACGAGTGTGGAATGCAGTTTAAAACTAAAGGAAGATTTGACAAACACATACCTTGTCGCGTACATAGAAATTCTGAGTATTTTCAGAAACCTCATTTAAAGAGAGGCAGAAAATCCTTGAATTCAAAGTAAGCTTGGTGTATTTTAAATACAATGTTTACTTTTAACCAAAGTGAATTAGAATCAATTGTTACCAATTACTAGTAATCAGTTGACAAATATATGATTGTATGTTACTCAAATAGTCACATCGATTGATGAGGATCATCGGAGAATTAGTATAAACACTCATGGTTTATGTGTTTGTGGGATCTGAACCTTCAGAATGTTCAAGTATTCTTTTTTGTCCCATTATTGTTTTGTTGTTACTGTTTCGATTCAGTAGCTACACTGTATTTGATTTTGACAATGTTCTTTATAATAAGTCAACTACTATAAATTAGTTAATGTCATTTTACAGAGTGCCCTTTCAAGAATATGTTAAACTGTTTGTTCCCAAGTTATTCATCTACATTAAAATGACAGTATCTGAATTCTAGTTCAAGTGACAAGGCAACATGAAAAATATCCGAAACCTATAGAGCCTTTTATATTATAGGTTTAACTTCTAAATAGTGGAGTAATCTCTATGGTATCTAGTGCTATCACCTAAGAGGTAGCTGAGATGAGATTTTTTCTTTTTCTAGAAGTGAAAATCCGAGATATTGTTATCCAATGACTAGATATTTTGTCAGATATAGCTCATAACGTAACTGACTTCTCTTTCTTGCTTTTTAATTTCTCATAGATTATGTAGGTCTGTTCTTTGTTTTCATTCTAAGCATATGATTGAAGTGAGTTAATTAACATGAACTGTGAAGTGAGAAATCTCATTTTTGCATCATTAGTACATCAAAGTAATTTATTCACACGCTTTGAGTTTCAATAGATTAGTGAGAATGTATTCATTAAGCCAGGAATGGTGAATTCAGAGACTTGTGACCATAAACTGATCACATAGTTTAAAAAAAATAATTATAGGAAAGGGAATTCACAAAACGGAAAGTCTTTATTTTCAAGACATTGTGAATATTTAATGCTGTGAGTGCTTTTGTTAATTTATGACGAAATACTTTGTAGACGTGATTCGATTTTATTAGTCAACATATCATTTACAGTTGAAATCTAATATTTTTTCTAAAGCAAGTATTTTGTTTTACCGAGATCATAAATAGATCTAAGTTAGGTAACCATTAAAAACTTGGGATAAAGTCATATTAAGCGTCATAATATGATTTATTTAATAATGTAAAGTTCAATATATCTTTGTAATTATATTTAACAATGGGTTATATTTTTTATAATTCAATCATTTCCGTCACTACACAAGTCATACTCTATCCTCAGTTGTCTTGATCGCTGAAATTTGTAGCTGGATTTCATGTAGTATACTCCAAGAATTATCACCGTTATTATGCTTGATCAACCATCTTCATTATCTTTAACTTTCTTTTATTCAAAATTTACATAGTTGCATTAATCTATTCATTTTCTTGTTCACTTATATAATGAATGCTTTATTATCATTAGTTTCAACTTGTTTTTAATTCCAAGTTGCTATAATTATTTAATAAGTTAGTTAACATTCTTATCTAAAACGAAATATTTGTGTGTCGTTTCGTGATTGGCTATATAATAACTAGTTGTTATCTGATTGGTTTATAAAATTGCCTATTGTTTATTTGGCCGATCTCATATGAAGACTTAGAATTTAGTTAGGGGAATAGTCGTTTTTAGCAGTATATTTGATTTTTTTAGTGTTCAATGTATATTTTTTCATTGTAATTTCACAATTGAAAGTCAATAATAGTCAAATATGACAATTTGGTGTAATTATTATTTCAACCTCGGTTTAGGACATATAAACTGTTAACGATTCTGATACAAAGGGCTGCGTTGATATTTGCTCTTATCAGATATATTACTACGCATAATGATGATAATAATTATCTATGGCACATTAGTGCATTCTCTCGATGTATGGTTGATGTTCGGGGTTATCTTGAGTAATCAATACGAGAAATCTACTGCTTATTGATTATAAGGCAGTGAAAGCAACGGTAAAACGCACATGCACACAGGAAACTGCATAATCTTGTTTTGATAGACGATTTGTTTTAGATTTACAGGTTCTTGGTTCGAGTAGTACATATAAAATCTGCAATTTATTTTGTTTGGGTTTGGACAATATAGTAATGTGTTGTCAGTGTGTGTAATTCAATTGCTCAGAACATCAACTTTCAGCGATTACTAGACGATAGCCAGTAGTGCGTTAAATATTGTCAAGCGTCTGCTGACCCTATATGTGAGGAAAAAGGTTTGTTTTCAGGGATCCTATTTTATTGTGCACACAACATTGTGATTACTTCTTAAGAACAAATAATTACTCATTTTGTCAAATTTCTTTTAAAAGATTATTATATTCAGGAAATATTTTCTTACAATTCCGTATATATTCATCAATGATGACCAAAAAGTAGTTTGTTGGATGCATTTGGTTTAAAATTTTTTTTTAGAATTTGAATGTGAATACCATCATACTAATTAATCCTTGTAATTGTTCTAGGTCATTGAACAACATTAAGCTTCCTTCTTGTTCAGTCCAGCGTACAAATAGTGACAACGGTAAGTGAAATAAGTTTTTTAGAGGAACTTTTGTTTGAATATTATGGTTTCTCTCCTCTGTGAAATTAACAACATTTTCATCATCGTCGATTTGTGTACTTAATGTAGGTAGTTAATCGTGATATGGATAGATCATCGGTAACATCTTCAGATTCGTTGTTGAAAAATGTCAAGACACATGGATTGTTAAAAAGGAAATGTCGGTACTGCATACTATTCTTGTGTTCTATTCATTTGGTGTGCGATATATCCAGTAAGAAAAAAATTTGTTTAGGTAACAGATAGTAGGTTATAGGTGTTTTTAGAGGAATGTTAAAGATAGGTACCAGGTTTTAGATTGAGAGGGTGTTAAGCAGTAATTTTTTTGCGTGTGAAGCGAAATTTCGATTGTTGAAATTGATGAATAGAATAGTAATCGAGAGATGAACGCAATGATTTAATGTGACCGAGTAATGGGTACTTACGAGACAGTATACTTCACCTAGGCCCCTTAATGATTAGAAGTCAAAGACAAGACCAATAATAAGATGAATAATTTTTCATGGGTTAATTAATATGCTGATATGCAAAATATGAACACAAAATAAACATAATAAAATGTCTTAGGTGACTGGAGGAAATTAGCATGTACGCCATTCATTCTCCAATCGTTTAAGACCTGACTGATGAGCCTAATATTTGGGCATCGTATTAGAGGGTAAGCTAGTTTATGGTGTTATATACTTTCAATGGTTGAACATTTACCTAGGGAGGTTTAAACTTCTGATATGAGGCCAGTCAAATAATAAGATTTTGGAAATTCCAGTTAACATGACTCAGCATCGATCACAGTGATTCTTATTGACCTATTCTGTGCCTTTTATGTTCTTAATATTCTATTGACTTCATACAATTTTTCTTATTTATAAACTTAAATAAAAAGGAGAAGATATCTTAGCAGAGTAATATGACTTCATTTATTCCATGGATCCTCTTCAGCTGCTTACAACCTGAAGCCGTAGCATTAATCATTAAAACAAAAACAAAAATACGTACTTTCTATCGGAAACGTTTATGATAAATCTAGTTAATATTAAGACTAAAATACGGAAGAATTAATGTTGTTCAAAGTTTGCTTATTTGTAGGTTAAATATATGAATATCCTAGAGGAGGATCGTAACAGAAATTTGTCGTCGAAACCAAAGATAGATTATATAGCGTAGACTAGTTGAGTAAATCTCAGAAATAAGAATCAAGGTATTAGAAGTTCTAGTGGTTTTAGGTTCTAAACTGCTAAGGAGGATCCATGCAATAAATGAATTCATGTTATTCTGTTATGATATTTGTTCTTTTTTCATAACTGAGGGTTATTACTCAGCCGTAGAAAAACAAGTGAGGAAAGAGTATAAAATACAACTACAGATTGATAACATTCATCAATCTCAAACTACTACAACAAAATGTAAGTTCATCTTAGAAGGAGTTAATTCAGAAAATCGAGTTAGCTTTTGGTTAAACATAGTCCACCAGTCGTAAGGTACTAATAGTTTGTATTGACAAATTTTATTCGACTTGGTTACTTCGATGCAGTTTACATCAAAAAGTAAAATTTATAGTCAAAAGGCCGTAATCAAACATATTTTTTCACCTCGTTTCTTTGAGAATAATGATTTATTATACGGGTTATCTTTTGTTAACTGATTAGTACATGTATACGTTAAACTTTAGATTCATATGAACTAAAGATGGAGAATTCAGCAGGTGTGTGATAGTTTTCAATTTTGTCATGAATAATTGTTGTGACGTTAAATATTTTTAAACTAAAAGGAAATTAACGCTTTTTTCATCTACGGTCTATACAAGTTTTTCCAAGCTTTAATACACCTGAAGTAATTAGAGGGAATTTTACCTGGAATTTCTTCGCTGGACCAGGATTACTTTTCGTGTGTATCAATGTTTCCAATTTTAACTGAGATTAACATATATGTTTGTATTCGTGCAGTCATGTGCTTGTTTGTTTGTCAATGCGTATGCAAACATGAGTACGTATAATACTTCACCTGTCCTTCACGTGGTTTTGATGCTAATTCTCTGTAGTCAATACATCATTTGATATTGCGATCGTCATTAATATCAGTGAAGTGGAAATACAGTTTAAGGTAGTTTTAACTTCTTCAGTTAGTGAAGCGTCAAATGTTTTACTCAATTTTGCTTTTTTTCTCTTTCCTTTCTGCTTCATTGGAATAGAGTTATATATTGTAATTAGCGTCTACTGAATTTATGTTTTAGTGTATATATTAAGAGTTCCTTTTTGAAAACATTTTTGGGGTTCTCTGACATTCTCAAATAAATTTCTCAGTCCAGTTTACAATGCTGTATTATCCAATCCAATATAATATAATATACTGTTAATTGTATGTGTACATATAAAATTTACCCTACAGTGGTACCATTGACTCTTTTAAACAATGTTATCCTATTCAAGTCAGTCAGTTATATTGATCTTTAACATAGGTTACATTTCCTGTAACAAACCATTTGTCAAACATTAATAAAAGTGATTGGTTTGCCAACTTTACATGAAGCTTTAGATATAAAAAATATTGTAGTCAGAAATAAGAGTTAAGAAATAGTAGCTAAAGAAAAATCACTAACACTTTAGTGAGTAATAATGCAGGAATATAAAAGACAGCTGACCTCTGTTAAAGGTCATACATCCAATCTTGTGAATATGTCGTTTTGTGCTCATTCCGTCTTGGATATATGTATATCATTAGTTGTAAACATTATGGATACAAGGTTTATCACTTGTCTATTAGAAGACATATTTGGTCAATTAAGTTCTCTTCATAATTGCTAACAGGATGTGACATCGGTATGTTTCTTTGTTCGTGAAACTCGTTTCCCGACTCACTTGTCTACCTTATTAATTATTAAATAAAGAGGTTTATCAACTAGTAGACTTCTTTCAGAGCACCCTAATACGATAACAGATTATCTCGGTTTTTTGATTTTTCGTTAGAGTTGGACTTTTGTCACAGTTTCTAAACCAATAGTGGAGTTGTATGAGCTTGTTCTCTAGGTATACTCACAAATAATGTTTTTAAAATATTTAACTGTTCGTACATTTAGTTACACTTTGTTTACTTGTTTCCTATGACCTCTTATTGTTGTTTATTGTTGTTGTATCGTTATTTTCAATTCGTCAGTATTCTTATGTTAAGATGTTGCAACTTAAACTGAAATAAATCTAATTCAAGCCTTACATTGTTTCTGTCTAATATGGTAAGTGCTCTTTAAGTTGTCACAACGGTCGCTATTTTGTTTGCTTAAATAGACTTGCTTATGTAAAAAAGAAAGTGAACCCGATTTGTAAAGAAAAACTTTGTTTTATTGAAACTTATTAAATGATTGATCAGTGTTTCTTCCATAAACTGAATTATGGAGTTTGGTCTCATTTGGAATTCCATTACACAAAAGACTTATTACCTCGATAGTAGTAAAAATTTCAACTGATGTTAAAATGGCAAATCATAAAAAAAACTATTATTATTATTATTATTCGTAAAGAGTATATATAGCAATGGTGCATGTTTGTTCAGAAATAGAAAGTGATAATGTAGTTAATTCATGATCTAATCATCTAATCATGAATAACGTAGCAATAAATTCTTTGATTATAACACTAAGGTATACAGGTTAAATTTTCTCAAGGTATCATCAAGTTTCTTTTAGGATCACTTCTATGTTTGCCCCCAAATGCCCTGGTACGGTCGAGAGTGGGGAGAGTCCGCTTCGCCTCTCGAAATGTTCTCATATGGCCACGCGTATATATCCTCTGCCAAGGAAGTCCTACTCACTGTCTTCTCGTGGCGGGGGTGTTGTTTATGAGATTGAGAAGACGAAAAGCGAATAACCGGCTTGGTGGACACGGAAAGTTCACGTAGGGGAGTTTGAAAACCCTGATCCCAAACTAATCGTAAACATGGGCTCCAGTATCCTGAGGGAACAAATGGCGTATAAACCAATTGTCGATCACCGGTTTTCATAGGACTGCATCTCCTTACGTTGCTCCACTGCCTTGTGGATCAGACCTTTAGTTCAAAGGCCCCGGGTGTGGCCTCCTAAGAAAACCACCTGCTTCAGTTTGGGCACCCGGGCAGTATCACAGCCCTCACACAAATCAAATGAGATTTGTGCGGCGCATATATATCTGGTGCTTTCATGCACCAATATTTATGTGTTTAAATAAATAAATAACCTCTATGTTTCGCTGTTTGATGCAAATACATATAACATGGTAGATTAAAATTGTGTTTAACAAGAAAATATCAAATGTAGATAAACTATTTCTGGTTACTGTTTCAATTTAGCTTTTGATTTCTATATTAAATCTTAGAATCAATCTAAACAGTTGAGTATCGGTTTTTCACTGTTTTACTGGTGTTTACATATTGAGGAGCCACAATTATTTCATTTAATAATTACAAATGGTGAACATTTCTCTACGCCTTTACGCCGTAAATGAATATTGACGAAAAACTAGTTTTTTACCTGGTTACTAATACTACGAATTGATGACCAAATTAAACCTAGTGTCGTTGGTTTGAAGCTATATTTATCGTGATAAGTGTCACGGTTTTAAGTATTAGTTATTATTATTAGCTTTATTCAATATTATATTTTTGGTACAATATAGAATTCTCAACACAGAGTATTTCAACAAGTCTCCGTTTCTTATTTCTTGATTAGTCCTGACGATAAATATTGAATGACCCTCAATTAGATGTTAGCAGTTCAGGAATCGACATCTGAATAATGTACATTCTTTTCGATGTATATTGCCAGCAACCACAGTGTCTCTAATTATGCTCTTTTCTAACTTGTATAGCGCAAGGTTGCGAACTTCTCACAAACGCACCTGAATAGGTTGTGCAATTGGTTGACATAATGATCTGTCGAAACAAACAAAAGACAGATAATTTGTTGAAATATCTAGATGGTAGGAACAGGTAGCCAAATATTCAAGCAGACCGCTTAGTTGATTGTTACCTGTTGGGTATATCTTGATTACAACGTGGTTCAACCGAATGAATCAACAGAACAGCAAACATCGCCCATCGGGGTAAGCCATGGACAGGCATACGGGATCCATGTGTTAGTCACGTTAGTCGATGAAGATTCACTATCTCATCAACTAGTTTCCCATCTTCTGCGAGTACCTCTCAAAATTGGTCACTCGGTCGTTCTACAAGACTTGAGTAATGCTTCGAAGACACCTATAATCGAGAACCTTCATCCTACGCATATCTCCTACTTCCAAAGACCGTGTTTCACGCTCGTAAAGTAATGCAGAGCGGACTACTGCGAAGTGTCGGCTACTCGATGACTTCACGTCGAGTGTTTAAATTGCTGTTATTTTTCTAAATATTTTTTTCAACTCCCTTAGTACACCTGGAAATGATCAGTTTTTTATGCTTTTCAATTTCAGTAATTCAATTGGTATCACTTCTTAACAGTCAATAATTAATTTAATAACTAATATAATCAATATCCAAACTGATTAAATGTCTGTTTAGCGACAAAATCACTTGACTTTCGTTCAACAAACAACAAATACAAACCCTACCTCATCTAGTTCAGTCTAGATAGTCAGCTAGTATTATAGGCCTTTAAACAAACAAAAAAACTATGGTTGGAAACTGGATACATGAAAGTTTGCATGTCTCAAATATATGATTTGGGAGTAATGTGTAGACAAAAAATACACATCTTTTGTTGGTCTATTAAGTACATGCAGAAAATATACGTCTGGTCAAAATATACAGCTACTTTAATCGTGAACATTTTGTTTGGTTTTTCTCGCTTTCTCATATCCTATGTATTTACGGTAAGAAAGCACTTTTAATATCTAGTGAATAGATTGCATTAGTTGTAATCATGAAAGAAACGAGAAAGGTCACTTACTCTAATGATGCATATAGCAATTACCCATACACATTCTATAGAATGACCTTTAAATAGATGATCAGCTTACGAGCAGCTAAGATTGATTTATAATTATTTTCATTATGATAATGACAAAAAGCCATAGATTTGTACTTTCTAATAGTTTATTGAACACGTCTAAACTTACTGTTGATTCAAAGGTAAAAATGCTTTCACTTTAGAAGTTATAACCTTCAACTCATCATAATCATTGTGCCTTAACGTCTCTTTTCATCTTGGCGATTAATTCCATTGACAATCACTTATTTGTTCATAGAATATAAAATAGTTTCAAATGAGACAGTTTATAGAGATTATGTTGACTTAATCGTTTCATGTAAATATGACGTTGGATTTATCTGTTTCCTGTAATCACTTAAATATTATCACGTATTTCTATGGAATACTATTAGACATTACTATTTATGGGTTGTTATAGGATTTTCACTTACCATTTTTATAAAATCATCATTATTGAATAGTAACGTATCGACATAGTATTTTATAATAACTTTCGCTTAAATTTGAATGAATAGTTCCACATTAATTGTACATGTTCAACAAATTTTTACTATTTGGTTACCTAAACTAAAGTGTATAAAACAGTTTTGGAAGCATTCAAACCAGTGATTGAAAATGAAGTACTTGATTTACTTACACATGAAATTATTAATTATTGAATTGATACAATAAGAACTATGTAAATAAGTTTTATTACATTATAATAGTTGTATACATTTGACAACCTATGTTATTTTCCTATGTATATATTTCCTTATTTTTCTATATTTTCTAGTGGATGAAACCTCATTACTTATTCGTATCATTGGTAAAGTAAGTAAAACCTTAATTTCTTTATCCTAATTTTAATGTTTATACAATTTATAAATGAATTGTGTGTTTGTATATTAAATTTTCATTTCAATTTATTATAAAAAGATTAGGAATGTTATTGGTCTGTTCACATTTAAATACTTTCGATTTCTTTTCAATGTAACAGTTTAAAATAAATAGTTTATATTTTCGTAGTTGAAAGCATGAGCCAATTGAAGCTAGACCACAATGGGAAACCTGGAAGCACTGGACGGCCGTTTCGTCTTATCGTGGGACTCCTCAGCAGTGCACATCCACGATCCCGCCTCGCGAGATTCGAACCCAGGACCTACCAGTCTCGCGCCAGAGCACTTAACCACTAATTAGTCTGTTAAATTATTTCTAAATTACATTTCATTTTTAATTTGGTTATTGACTATAGGGCTGTTTTTTTCTAAAATGTTATATAACAAGTTAACTTCTGTTCTTCTTATTGGTGGATGACTATTTTCATTATGATATAAGTAGTACAAAATCTGACCACAAATAAGTTCACTATGGAATTCGTATTATTTTGTTTCTTTTTGTAATCTACGTCTTGATTATGTTTACACCTTAATATGGTTACACATCTTTTTTATACCTAAACATACATACATCAAAGGAATACAACTAAAAAAATGCAATAGTGGGAGTCTTAAGAATTTTTTTTCTCTCTCTCCTAAAAATAACTGGCTGAATACGTTGATATTGCATTTTTAAAAGACATATCTTGTTAACTATAAAAATAAGTGTCATAGATTCTAATAGTTCACAATCAAAATTTAGATTTTTATAAGCAGATGTAGAAAGATCTATTTAAGGTAACTGTAAATAACAAGTGAAGTAAAACTATTAAGAATCAGTCGAGTTGTCGGGCTGTTATTGCAATTAAGTATTGAATCTTGACCTTTGCTAGTTGGAAGTTATCTAATGTTTGTATTATTTTTAGTAGTGAGAATAATGAATTGACTTGATTGAAAACGCGAACAGATCATCATCATAAATTATCGTTGTAATATTTGGTTCTATTCTTAATCAGTTAACCTGTCCGCTAATAAATCAGCTTAACTGCATGAAGAGGAAATTAAGTGAAACTGATTTTAAAATTATACACAAAAATATAATTAGTGGATCTATCTGTGAATAATATTGTCTCGTATATTTGTCTGTTTCTATTAGACATTTAATGGAAAACATAAAAATTTTATTTGCCTTATGCCAAAATTAATTCTGATTTACTATACGTGTGCGTGATATATATATATATATATATATATATAACAGTATTATAAATTATAACCATTTCACACCAACCAATTTGGAAGTTAGAGCAACCATTGGGTTGGATTCTGCTTGAGGTTATAGGTGTACACTAAAATATTATGGTTCTTCAGCACTCCCTGAACTTTATTGAATCAGGTTGAAATTATTTGGTAATAACAATGATTTTCAGCTTGATCATTTTGTTTAGTTGATAAATTGTTTATCATATTGGAATGACTACACTTTTTTAGGCAAGCTAGAAATCATTATCACCAGTTCATCATGTTTCTTTTCTTCACGGTACCATTGTCTAAGATTTATCATTACCAGGAACTAATACGTTCCAATAAATAACGCTTCTTTGAACAGCTTTATGTATTCATGTTATATTTTTAAACTATCGTTCTAAGATAGTTGTATTGTATTACGATCGTATTACAATACGATAAGATAAATGAGAATTTTATCCATTGAATTACTTAAACAAATAGATTATTTTTTATAACTAGAAACTCTTCACAATCGTACTACAGTTCATTCAAATTTTCGCATATTCGAACGTTAAACAAAGAATAAAAAATCTTTATTCAGTGGACAACAAGGAATATATATACATACATATATATTAACAAATTGTTTAAAAAATAAAATTAATAAATTCGTTCACATTATTGTGATTAATTTTGGATAGAAATTTAGTTTAATGGCTTAAACATTTGAACTTCAACTATTACATTGTACGTACTTGATCACGGTCGCACAAATAACTGATTTAAGACATATACGACGTAAACTTCCATAAACAGTTCAAATAAATAGTCAACTTGTTTAATGAACTAGTATCTAAGCTCTTTTCCTCATGTCTCTTCGTAAAACCCATTAGTGTTGTGCATTTTAACCGCATCTGATTCATTGATCAATGTTTATGTCTCAGTTATATCCGTGAATATCATGGATTAATCATGAAATGAAATTCAGTTACTTATATCATCTAATTGTCTCTGGTTAAAGATTCTATAGTAACGTAACTCAAATCAGTCTAGTCAAGCAATGTAAGTGATAGTTTGTATTGAGCAAAAAAAAAGAATAACAACTTAATCCACTGATTCTATCTTATTTATCTAAACTTCTACATGAAATCTAGCTTTTTCTGCTTATTTAATACCTGGAAAATATCAAAGAAAAAAAAACTTCTAGCATGTTCAGATTGTCTACATTCACTGACTATATTACATAATCAATGATATATCAAAAGCGATCTTACTATTTCATCTACATCTACTCCATTGATAGGTCATCATAAATGGTGTAAATTTTAAAAACGTCAATCGATCATTCAATCACTACGCATTTTTTATTATATTAAAAAGAAAATGTGAAAAGTTCTCCTTGTACTTCTGTAAATTACACTATATATATATATAGGACCGTGGCACAAATCTATGAAGTCACTGACAATTGGACTGAGCCATGTTGGTAGGTGTAGACTACCTGGTTGGGATTCGCGAGATGATAGCAATCGATGGTTAGAGACCTTGAATGACATGGCTCAAAATCGTTTGAAATGGCGAAGGTGCATCCACTCTTTGTGTTCTACCAAATTCTAATCTTCTGAATTCTTCATGTCCCTATCCTTTTTTTCTCTTCTCAAATTTATTTCACTGGGTTATACTCCTTCAATAACATCTTCAAACCCTAATCTTTCGCATAATGCTTATACTCTTACTGCTTCTACCACTATGGGATTTGAATGGACAACTGCATCTCTGTTCTGATGTGGTATGGCAAGTCGAACTGATGTACGTACGTACGAAGTTCTACGTTGTGACTGACTAATATATATATATATATATAATCTCAAATTAAATCATTTACTTTTTACTGTGGGTTTCTTAGTTATTCATTTACTCTTTAATCGATTATTTATATTCAATAAAAGCAAGCAAGCAAGCTAAAGAGAAAATTATGCCTGTCTATTTTTCTAGAGTAATAATATTATCATTATTATTGTTATTATTAATTACCAATAAACATTTATTTAAATGTCCTTGAGTTTTAATCAATGAGAAAGCTTTGACTACATAAAATTAAGAAAGTTAAATTAATTTATTGAGATTTATGTACACTCTATTACTATTTATAGACGCGTGAATGACCACACACATACATAGATATGTAGATACATGTATTATGATTATGTGTTACAGGAGTGCGTATTTTTTGTGCTCTCTCTCTCTCTCTCTCTCTATATATATATATATATATATATATATATATATATATATATAGTTGTTGAAAATGAGAGTGAAATTGAATCGTTTACTGTTACTTATTAATTTATTTATTATGACTAACATTATCATTGAGTATTATTTTATCATTATCAAAAGGGGTTTGGTGATTTCAGTAATTTTTTGATCTCATTTTATGATTTCATGATCTCAACTCTATAAATTTACTAAAATTTCCACCGAACCCCTTCTGATAATGATCATGTGCTCACTAGTGACTGGCTCCATGAGGTATTTCCTGGAGTTCTACTGAGAAGCAGTAACCAGTGGAGTTCAACCAGGTCTGTTGGGAGATATCAACTCATTGATGGCATTGGTGAATGGTTACTCAATTTCGTGGATCGGTCGAAGTTAGACAACAACACCGTTGGATACCGGCTCAGTGGTCTATCGGTTAAGTGCTCTGGCGCGAGACTGGTAGGTCCTGGGTTCGAATCTCGCGAGGCGGGATCGTGGATGTGCACTGCTGAGGAGTCCCACGATAGGACGAAACGGCCGTCCAGTGCTTCCAGGTTTCCCATTGTGGTCTAGCTTCAATTGACTCATGATCTCAACTCTATAATATTATTTTATCAGTTTTCAATAAATTTATGATTTCATTGATTTTATATCTCTATATATAAACCTTATAGGTTAATGCTATACATTTCTAATTGTTATGATTAAGTAATTAAGAGGTTGTTAGATTTATATTTAATTTTATGCCAAATTAAGAATTGTAAGCAGTGTTGATTTAATAAAAACGATATTTCAATGATCTTTAACGCTGAATTCTTAACGATTAAGGTATTGATTAGGCGAAGTCATTAATTTGAAAGTGCAACAATTTAAATGGATAAGCTTTTGTGTACTCTATCACGTTTTTGGGCGCGCCGTTATTTGCTCACACTTTATTTTGAAGATCATTTATTGAAGTGGATGGTATTTTAAATATATTTCAGCAGAAATAATGGAATAAGATATATTTACAGAGTATAACAAATGTTCAATATTTTCCATTGAATGCCAAATCAAAGTCCAAGCTGATTGAGTGAATAGTTGGAAAATAAGTTATGATTAGTTCTGTTTAACCGTACTAGAAAATGTAGCAAATATCACAGATTGTAGTGGGAGTTAATTGTGCAATCTATCACGAATTCATTGACGTTATTAATAATGATCATTGGGTCCCGAACCAGTTGTCTAGACGGTTATTGTTTTTAAATTTCGAGGTTCGATATCATAGGAGGTTGTAGGTGGGGATCAATAAATCACAAACTAGAACAAACCAGCTGTTTAATACCCTTTGGTTTTCTATGTTTCCCCAGTTGATGTCAGTCTCTTACGAAAGCTTAATTTCAAATGGGTTGTGGTTCTTTACAATATTGAAAAAGTTAGATATGAAGTAACAAGAAAACTTTTGGCAAATGCTAAAACCTCATCGTAACTTCAATCATCTCATTTGATATTTAATGCTATCTCAGCCGGATAAATCTCTTAAAACTAATATTATTACTATCATTGGTTTTTTGTTTGTTTTAAAGTTGACCTTGAAAATTTGTTATATAGTACAATTCATTTTACTTTATTTTGAAACACAAATACACTGAGGTTATGGTTTATTTATCATAGACTAAGTTGTTATGTCTCAATCTGTACATGTTCTTTTTGAATCGCAACTTGTTATCGTTTAATGTTCTTTTCGTATTAAACTGTGTTATAGAATGAATGATATATTGTTTTTGCCCAATTAATTCCCATGACCTTTTATTATTTGCTGACTGTAAAACTATTTAAGTCATATTTCTTATTGTCATGGAATTTGATGTGTACTATTTTTTTTAAAGAATTACGTTTAGTCCAGAAAAAAAGATCATTTTTACGAATCCGTAACTCGTAGACACTTTACGTTTGCATTTTACGGAATATGGATTCAGTCAGTCAATCAGTCATAAGCAATGTGGAACTTGGCACATATGTGTATCGGTCCAAATTACCACACTATGTATGGTTAATGAGAGTGCATTAGGAAAACAAATACCAGAGTAGTGAGATTAGTAATTGTAGTAGAAAAGACTGGGCACAGATAATATGATTCTAGAACAAAGTGTGAATTCGGAGAATAAAAATATAAGATAATTCTAAAACACAAGATCTAATGGAATATAAAGAGTGAGGGTATGTACGCCACTGGGACCGATTCTATGCCATGTCACCCAATGTCTCCGACCATTGGTTACGATAACTGCGAGGACATCAACCAGTTAGGCTGCCCGTATCAACACTGCCTATTCCTAGAGCCAACGACTTCATAGATTTATACTGCATTTTGGTTTGGCCACTCTTATTTTCCATCCAACCTACTTTTACATAAGCAAATGTCGCACATTGAGTTAGCCAATGTTTGAGGATATATAGTACATGTCCCATCCACTTGATCTGTTGACTAATTTAGAAAGATACTATAGGTTATTGGATTACAAAAAATGATTAAGATGCCATTACCTAAGAGTTTGTTTAATGATTGATTAAAGTTATCTAATTGTGATTCTCATGACTTAAATAATCTGACCTGTTTGGGTAAATATGTGTGGTTTTGAACTACTGTAATTTTCCATTCAAATTAAATGATCTTGCTAAGTCTATTATTTTTATTGCAAATCACTTGATTAGGCCTATAATCCATTAGTTTTACAAATAACTCACTAACAGAGATTGATATACAAAAGTCTTTAGTCAAATGATAAAGAATCCAGTCCCCTAAAGTTGTCAAGATTATTATCTTAACAGTAACTCAGTAGTCTTAAAACCAGTTTGTATGCTTTATCGTCCGAAAGCACCACTATATAAAGGGTATAAATGTACACCATTATGTAGTCACTTAGTTATTACAACGCAGCACCCTCTGCATCAATAGGCCTCAACATACACAAAAGAAAATGCAAGATCCTCAAATACAACACGGAGAAAGCCAAGCTAATCATACTTGATGGAGAAACTCTGGAAGATGTAGAAGCATGCATGTACCTGGAAAGCATCATTGATGAACAAGGCGGATCTGATGCAGACGTAATGGCGAAGATTGTCAAAGCAAGGACCGCATTCCTACAATTGAAGAACATATGGGACTCAAAACAACTGTCAACTAATTTCAAAGTGAGAATCTTCAATACGAACGTCAAGACAGTTAGTTCTACTGTAGGGAGCTGAAACGTGGAGAACTACTTCAACCACCATCAAAATGGTACTAGTACTTATAAACAATTGTCTACTCAAGATACTCAATGTACGTTGGTCGGATACCATCGGCAAAAGCCTACTGTGGGAGAGAACAAACCAGCTTCCAGCTGAAGAGGAAATTAGGAAAAGACGTTGGAAGTGGATCGGACATACATTAAGGAAATCACCAAACTTCATCACGAGGCAAGCCCTAACTTGGAATGGTGAAGGTAAGTGGAAAAGAGGAAGACCAAAAAGCATTTTACGCCGGGAAGTAGAAGCAGATAGGAAAAGGATGCTGGTGGGCGGCCTACGCTCCTCCACGAGGGTTAACATGCGTAAGTAAGTAATTAAGTTCTATCTACATATAATAGAGATAGTCGTATTATTATGTGACGTGAATGTTCACTGTTACCTAAAATTACTTCGTAATATATATTACATTGTCAAATTGATTGTACAACTCAGCAACCACAATATATATTTAATCACTTTGCTGTATAAAGTTTAGGGATGCTACTTTGTTGAGGTTCAAATAAACAAACTGGAATATAAACCATGATGGAGAATTATTTTATTCTGTACTAAGATTAAAATGAAATGTCAGTTTAACTTGGCTAACTGAAGTTAGTCTTGAATTGATTAGATATTTTGATATCATATCGCAACTCATTAGAAATCGGGATATAAATTAAAAAGCCCAATATTCTCTCACTTTCAGGTTCTGTAGTACTATATATTACCAAATTCTATGCAGTAGTCTAGCCTAGAAAAATTTGGAAAACATGTAACCAGCTGATAATTAAACTATATTTTTTAAAACTTCCTTGACAAAGTAAATCAATCTACCCTTATTTGTTGTGAATACAGAAACATATGAGTTTACTAAACTGTATACTTATTATGAAAGGTCAAAGTGAGGTCAAAATTAAATGGGTCATATTCGAAAAGATCGTATGGCTGAAAACATTTCTGAAAAATTATTTTAGAGTATCAACTAATCGAAACCTAATTTTAGTCAACAGAAAAACAAAATTAGTTTTTGACAAATTACAAATGTTTTGTGTGAGTATTTACTTTTATTTGAATGGCTGATTATTTATCTTTGAATTTCTTCTACAAAAGAAAAGTAACTGAACTATTATTTCAGTGATAGTGCAGGAGTCTCTTGGGAAGAAACTAGAGGGTGTCAAACCAAGATACGACATCAGTTCATGAAGTCTCTGGCCATTGGTCTGAACCTCATATGATGAAGTTCAGACTGTCTGTTAAGATTCCACGCGATAATCGTGACCAATGTCAGTTGGTTGAAGGTAGTGGACAAGAAACCCAGGACCTAGATTTCGTGTTATTTGACACTCTTCAGGAAAGACTACCTATAGTTTTGAGGGAATGTACTCCGAGTTATCCGTTTTATGGCACTAAAGTATTTACTTTTTATTCTATCCAGTTTTATTTTGTACTTCTCTTGAGTTTATGTATTGTATATGTCGATTAATTCGAGAAATTCGCATCGCAAAAGTCCACGTATCCTGTTTACTGAAAGATTTTCTAGTTTATTATTTCAGATATAACTTCAGTGTAATTTAGTAATAAAATCTAGGTTTCCACATTTTTACGTTTTTACTGAATGTTCTGTATAATAGTTGATGGTAATAACTGGCTACTTCAATCACAGTAGGTTTTTTAATAGTCTCTTCACCCTTAGCTTGGATCAGCGGAATTCATTATGTTTAGAAATATAGATATAATAACTAACGGATACTTTATTGTCCAGAGTTCTACATTGTTCTCATCTTAGTTATATTTTTACTATTAACCTTCATTATACAAGAATCCCTTAAACTTGACTTCTACTCTTTCCATTACTTCAAAACAAGCAATTTCTTTCGGACACAGATTTTGTGTCATCTTGAAGTAAACTTAACTGATTGCATAACTCACTAATGATGATAATGAATAGTAAAGTCCTATTGAATTTTTTTTTAACTCAATACTATCTGTTGATGTGAATAGTAATCCACATTTTATGGGATTCCTATTTTTACTCGACCAATCGATCTTCCTCAAAAAAAATTAAATTAACTTTGTAACTAACCTAAGAATATCCAATAACTAATTTATTATAGACTTTAAATAAATGTGTCGATGAATTATATTTCTTTGTTTTTGCTCCCCCATTTATTCTGTCAACTTCACATATTAGCCTCCAAAGTCAGACAATTTCATCACATATTTAAATGACGAGCCAAACGAAGCAAATGATGCAAATTTTCCACCTAGTAAATCATCTATTACAGGAATTCTAAAATTCCATCTTTCGCCCAATCAAACTATTGAATTTTTGGTTTGTGCAAATAAATTAGCTGTGAAACAGTGTATTTCAGCATTGGATAACAATTTACTGATTGGTGATGATAGTACAGTATTTGATGGGATGAATAATTGTAATACAAAAGAATACTTAACAGAATTAAACACTGCTTCTCCATTGCTACCGCTCACTTCATCATCATCTTATCTATCTACAGACTCTATAATAAGTAAGTATATTTGTTATCAGTCAAGCTGTTAAATTAAGTATGTAACCTAGTTTACTAATGAAACTGAATTTCTCAATATACTTCTCTTTTTTCATATCATCAATTTTTTTAATTATTTTTAGTTTAACATATCAGATTTGTTGATAGACTATGCATGATAACTCGGTGGTTGACTCACTTTGACACATATTTTGTATAATCCAGGGACAAAATGGATGAAGTTTAAAAAAGATTTGAGCAATTACTGAATTCACATTACAACGGTCTTTAAAGGACAGTGTTAACCATCAACATCTAATATACACGCATTACAAAAATGTCAACTTTACTAGTGCATGAACAAAATTTATGTGGGGCAGATTAGTCTGTGTACCACTCGGTATTTCAAACCTCGTCAAGCAGAACAACAATGTTGAAAACTGTGACTTACCGGTTGAAAAATATGTACCAAAATGACAGAGCTGTAGATCTACTATTTGTTGAAAAGTTGATCTGATAAATAGTCAAACTCAAAGTATAATATTCCCCTTAAATTTATATGGTTGAAGGAGGGAAGTCCCATCGTCTTTTATATTTTCTTACAGATAAATATTATGATTTCTTTGCTATTTTTCTCCACCAAGATGCAATGTATTTTTAATTATGTACTTCGTAGTAAATAAATACATTGATGGTTGGTCTAATGATCTTTTTTTAGGGGTGGAGTCACTCATAATAAATAGTTTTAGAATGATAGAGTTCTAAACACTACTAAAAAAAGATCAACATCCTATTAGTGTTTGGGATATTATTTTTCATACTACTTAATCTAATTTCAGTGACTAGTTTTTTTGAATTCTAAACTAAATATGAAACTCAATTTTAGTAACTGATCTAATTACTTACTTGTGTCTGTTGCCTCTCGTATAGCATAGGCCACTGATCAATATTTTCAAGTCAACTCTTTCTTGGTATTGCCTTTCTAGTTGTCCGCAATCGACATTCATCCCTCTGATATCTGCTTCCAATCACCAGTGTAGTTTGTTCTTTGGCCTGTCTCTTTCCTTTTTACCTTAATGATTCTGGGTTATAGCTTGTTTTGTGATGGAGTTCGATGATTTCCGTAATATGTGCCCTACCTACCTCCACTGTTTTTCGCAATTTTCGGTTTATCTGGAATGTGGGTTGTTCTATTTCATAATAGTTTGTTGCTGATGGTATCCGGTCAACAAATATTTTGTATCTTCATGATCTGATATATATATATATAATTTCTCTTTCTGTTGTGATAATACAATGTACTACGCTCTGGAATAATTATTTCAAGATTGTTTCTATTCAAAGTTCGGTAGATGTTTATCCCAGTACTTCTGTGAAAGTTATTGTTTCGTCTTCAGTGTGTATTTCAATGGATTTTGTGGTAGATTGAGAAACTGATGATTAACTATGTGTTCAGCACCTATTATTTTGTAGAAACGTTTCTCCCAACGTTGAACTTTGTCTTGTTGTAAGGAATACTTTGACTGGAGGTGAATTATTCATATTATTCTCTATAGCTCTTTTTTGCATTGGATGTTTTTTTTTAAAGTTAGCAAAAGCTACTCAAATACACTAATTAAGATTTTTTTATTGTAACTTGTTATTTTCATTCGTAATTGTCTTATTAGTATATGTTGATTACTGAAGGGGCTAACTTAGGAACGAATCTGAGTAAGCATAACAACGAAGTTGACACGAACATTTTAGTATCGAAAAAAGAAAGAGTTAGAAAGTTGATGGATACAAATCATATATTACATAATGAATTAAACACTTTATCATGTTTTTCATAATTAAATTGAAATTTGGTTACATTTGTGTATTAGTTGAAATGTATTCTCAACTGACAAAAGTTGCATTTAGCACATACCAGTTTCTATCGTGGCAAGATAAATTTACAAAAAGCATTGTGATATACGGGTTTACTATTTTTTAAAAATATGATGAATATATTCACTGGAATAAAGAGTTATGATATTTTCAAGTTGGCTATATAAGTCGCGGAAAAATTTTGTCATGAATTTAAAAGTGCATCATTTTATGATTATCTTCCTGTGCTGAGAATTTCCGCCATTTTTTGTGCATATTGACTTCCGAAAAACGATCGAGGACAGTAAAAACAAGACAATGAAATGTTATCTCTGAAATTTCACCAAGATATATTCTGGACTATTGACTTCAAAGGCTTGGAACTCGGTTTACACTGTTTCATTCACTTTAATGTACAGCTTGACTTCATGTTATTCTATGTATTTAAATCAAGCAAATAACGTTGTGCGTTAATTTGTTCTATGCTATGAAAGGTGGAATACTTACACTTGTATTTGGTTGTCATATGAGTGTTTGTGTGTACTTTCACACACATACAACCGTTCAATCTTAGTCATTGTAACGTTTACAAAAACGTGACAAGTTTGATTAAACTGACAATGTATTTTGAAATATTTATACTTTAAAATAAAAAGAAATTGGGTAATATCCTAATAGATGTTAGATTACATTTAAGCAGCCATCTTCAAAATCCATCTAAACTTAGTGGTTTTGTGGGATAAGTTAAGTCGATTACTAAACGAACTGGACAATAGTCCTCGAGGTTAACCACAGACTATACTCGAACTCTGCCTCATGTAATTTATTTTGGGCTGTTGGTTAATGTTATTAGCCATCCCAACACAAAAGTGTTCAGTGCAAAATGTGTTACAAAAGTTACCGAGTTACATGAAATTGAAATTACTCCGATGATATCAAATTATTAATATAACGTAGTCAGTCACTCTTGATATTAATACATTTTCATTTATAGTCTTTTTATTGCATGAAGGATTGACTTTTTTAAATGTTTAGTAAAACCAAAATAATGGACAAGCATTTATTTACATTTTGTCACTTTCTAGTACCATCCTCCTCATTATCTTCAGTAAATTCCTGTAAAGGGAATCAAGAACCTTACACAAATTTAACAACTGTCTATCAAAAAGATTATATTTTTAACACACATGATATAAATATGACATCTAATTCATTGGAATATCATGATCGTAGTCAAGATGAACTACAGGCTGCACGAACCATTCTATCATTAGCTCGTGGAAGTACTGATGATATGGTTTTGAATATGGGACAAATTATGATGGAATTAGATAATGCACCAAAAATGAATAATTCATGTGAAACAAGAAATACGCCATATAATACTGATATCAACAACACTATGACGGAGTTGAAAACTCAAGGTTTGTTTTGCTTTTTATATTTATTTATTTATTTATTTAATCACATATATATTGGTACAAAGGGCACCGGATACATATGCGCCACACAAAATAATGAGAATGGGAGGAGAAGGAAGAAGAAGCATATATATAAAAGAAGGAAAAAAAGAAAGGGAGAAGATTAATGATGGGGGTGAACTGAAATGTACAACCAGAAGAGCTCTCTCAGTTAAGAAAGTTATAACCACTCTTTATGAGGAAAGTAAAAGAAGGTTGCAGCAGGATCGCTACTGGCTTCTATTCTGAGCCATATCTGATAACGTCTCTAGCCACTGTGTTGCACCATCTCTCGGACCCCAGCCAGGGAGTCGTGAAGGACCAACAGAAGCTAGCCCTTTGCAGCTTTCTTTCATACCACGACACCATGTCATACACTGACCTCCTCTCCGCTTTTTCCAACCAGTCCCAGAGTCGGCAACTAATGAACGACGTGGAATTCTCTGGGACAACATTCGTAAAACATGTCCAAGCCACCGAAGTCGGTGTTTCAAGATGGTGACACCAATTGAATTATCGTCTCTGCGCCCGAACACACGATGCCAAACCTGTGCATTACTAACATGGTGTTGCCACTGTATGTCAGCAATCCTTCGGAGACAACGATGGTCGAACACAGAGAGATGTCTAACATCCTCAACTCGGAGAGGCCAGGTTTCACAAGCATAGAGCAAAATTGCTCTCACCGACGTGTTGTAGATCCGACCTTTTACAGCCAGACTAACATCGCGAAGATGCCAAAGATGGCCCAGATTGGCATAAGTCGCTCTGGCTTTCATTATACGTGCATCAATCTCATCACTCATGCCACCATCAGCACTTATGTAGCTACCTAGATACACGAACTTCTCAACTACTTCAATCTGCTCACCATTCAGGGTGAGAACAGGATGAGAATCCTGCCAGTCTTGTAGGAGTACCTTGCACTTGGAGGGTGCAAAGCACATGCCGTACCTGCGGACGCTGATTGCCAACTGATTAAGTGCTGATTGCATGGCTTGGGCAATATCGCACAGTAAGACAATATCATCCGCATACTCGAGGTCGAGAAGTCGTTTTCCAGGCAGCAGATCCACACCGCCATTACTTACGTCCATCAGAGCTGTTTCCAGGATGTCATCGATGGCAAAGTTGAAGAGGAATGGTGAGATTGGGCAACCCTACCTAACCCCACTGCTCGAATTGAACAATGGAGAAAGGTGGTTGTATGCCCTCACTCTGCCTGAGGTGTTCGTATACAGGGCCTTTAAGATGTTAATGAACTTCTCAGGCACACCCTTCTTCAATAGACAATCCCAGAGAACAGTCCTGTCCAACGAATCGAAGGCAGCCCTGATATCAAGAAACACTAAGATTGTTGGCCTGCGATAAGTATGACGGTGTTCTAACATTTGGCGGAGGGTGAAGATGTGATTAATGCATCCTCGACCAGAATGAAAACCAGCCTACTCCTCTCAAGTCAGTCTTTCTCGAGTTTAGAACAACCTACGAAGAATGACAGAAGCCAATAGTTTGGACGCAATCGGAAGTAGACTTATCCCCCGATAGTTGTTACAGGAACAACGTGAACCCTTTTTAAAGATAGGGACGACTATCAACTCATTCCATGATGTCGGAACACTTTCTTACTCCCAAACCTTTCCAAACAACACAGTCAATTCCTTAGTCAGAAAGTCACCACCATCTTTAAAAAGAGCCGGAGGTAAGTCATCTGGGCCCGGTGATTTGTAACGTTTCAAGAGTTGGAGTTCCTTGCGGCTCGGATGAGTTGGAAGAGCTTCCGGCAGTTACCAGATGCAGCTGCTGCTTCCATCTCATTAACACGCTCCGACCACCAGGCTTCTCGGTTCTTACGCAAGCTTTGCCCAATTTCATTACGTAACAGCCTTCGTTTGTGGTCATACTCACGGTCACCCGGAGTAGACCGACTGGCTTCGATCAGTTGTAAGGAGCCAGAAGAAACCCAGTGCTTGTAAGCGGGACGTTTCGCGAAGCCGCAAGCGGCTTTACTCGCCATTTTCATGGCGTCGTGAAGATGCAACCAATGCTCATCTATACTTTTCGGTGGGATGGTAGTTAGCCTAGAAGCTGGCTCTGCTCGATACTTACTTGCAACAGAAGTTGCAGCCAGTTTACTAACATCGATCCGTTGGTTTTGGTCAATCCTTCGGCCACTGAAAAGTAAGGTGAGATTGGCGCAGACCAGGGCATGATCAGACTCCAGATAGGTACTCCAAAAGGAGCGGCAGTCTTGTACACAACTACCCCAGCGGTAGCTGATCGCGATGTGATCAATCTGAGTCCAGGCTTGAGATACAGTGGAAGGACGCCAGGTGGCACACCGGCGATGATTGCGCTGGAAGTTAGTGCTGGCCAGAAACAGGTTGTGGTCTGTGCACAGTTGCAGCAAACGGTCCCCGTTATCTGTCCTGCGACTAACAAGTCCCCATCGGCCACCTAAACGACTCTTTTCTGTGCCTAGACGCCCGACCTGTGCATTCAGGTCTCCGGCTAGTACTACAATATCTGTCGAACGCGCTTTCTGGAGAAGAACTGTTAACTGATGGTAAAACTCATCCTTGATTGCATCCGGGCTGCAATCTGTCGGGGCATATGCGGAGATGACGAAAAGACACCGTTTCTCACGCCGATTTCTCACTTTGATGGAACTTTCTAATCTAACAGCACATAACCGACTGTTAATGGGGATCCAATCGATTAGTGCTGCCTCAGCTCTAACGCTTAGTGCGACACCAACGCCTGCAAGACCAGACGAAGATGCCACAGGGTCCCCGGATAAGCGCACGTGAAACAAGCTTTTCGAGGCGACAGATGGAGAGCGTATTTGTAGTACTTCACTAGAGTCTTGAATGCGGGTCTCGGATAGACAACAAACATCAACATTAAGACCTTCCAAAGACATAGCCAGCCCTATCTGTTGTCTGCTATGCATTAGTGTGCGAACGTTGAAGGAAGCCAGATTGAACGGCGTACGTGGTTTCAGAAAGACTGCTTCAGTATTCATAATCGGTGGAAGCATTCACTTTCAACCAGACAGTGACTGGAGATCGTTTAGATAGAACAGAGTTTCCACCAAGAGCGAGCTGCTGCATAAGATGATAAGTAAGGTTACACAAATTGGGGATAAAAGGGGGTGAATTAGCGATGTGGTAAATAATGATAATAATAATAATAATAATAATAATAATAATTGAATTGTTTCTAGTATGAGCGAGAATATAATCGTCAGTTGAATATTTCATTTCATTTATTTGCGTGAGGGCTGTGATACTGCCCGGGTGCCCAAACCGAAGCAGGTGGTTTTCTTAGGGGGCCACACCCCGAGCCTTTGACCTAGAGGTCTAACCCACAAGGCAGTGGAGCATCGTGAGGAGATGCAGTCCCATGGTAGCCGGTGACCAATAACTGGTTCATACGCCATTCGTTCCCTCAGGTTACGAGAGCCCATGTGCACCATTGGTTTGGAATCAGGGCTTTCCAACTCCCCTAGGTGGATCCTTCATATCCACCAACCCGGTTATAGCGCCGGACATTCGCTTTTCGTCCTCTCACTTTCGTAAACAACACCCCCGCCACGAGAAGGCAGTGAGTAGGACTTCCCTGGCATGGGCTATATACGCGTGGCGTGTGAGAGCATTTGGAGAGGGAGAGCGGACTCTCCCCACTCTCGATCGTACCAGGGCATTTGAGGCATTTCGGCTCGTTAAGACGCTAAAAACTTTCTAGGCGCGCGATATATATATATCCCCCTTTATAATTTTGACTAAAATAGATAGTTTAGTGCATTATAGGGAGACCACCGAGTTTAGGGTAGTCTCGGCCGCACTAACCCAGGTTCTAATCCTGGCAGCGACATTCCATTTTGGCTCAGTGGTCAATCGGTTAAGGGCTTCGGCTCGAGACTGGTAGGTCCTGGGTTCGAGTCTCGCGAGTGCGGGTTCGTGGATGCGCACTGCTGAGGAGTCCCATAATAGGACGAAACGGCCGTCCAGTGCTTCCAGGTTTTCGATGGTGGCCTAGCTTCAATTGACTCATGATTTCAACAGTTTTGCTTTTTACTCAGTATCTGTTTTTACTGTATTATAAGACGAATTTAGTAAAAGATGACTTAGACTATTTAAAGAGAAATATGTATTTAATGCTGATTTTCAATATACGAACTGATGGTTATCAGTCACTTACTTTCCTATACCTGTTGCCTTTCTTGTAGCATAGGCCACTTATCAGTACTCTCAAGTCAATTCTTTCTTGGTATTGCCTTTCTAGTTGTCCGCAATCGACATTCATCCCTCTGATATCTGCTTCCAATCACCAGTGTAGTTTATTCTTTGGCCTGTCTCTTTCCTTTTTACCTTAATGATTCTGGGTTATAGTTTGTTTTGTGATGGAGTTCGATGATTTCCGTAATATGTGCCCTACCTACCTCCACTTTTTTTCGCAATTTTCGGTTTATCTGGAATGTGGGTTGTTCTATTTCATAATAGTTTGTTGTTGATGGTTTCTGGGGTATCGAAATTTCAAGAAACACAGTATGATTAGGTAACGCTTTAGAGGATAAACAAAAATAATAATTTGAAAAGAAATGTATGAAAGATAATTGTTCCCTCGATGAATTTTACAAAGATACAGAAGTAAAAGCCGTACAGCAGATAATAACTATTAACCAAAAATTAGGTATTAACAACTATCATGCAGAGAAAGAGAGACTGCACATGCTACTTTTACATACAGAGTCCAAGTTTGAGTTGAATTACTAGCGCCTCCACAGTGCATAAGTTATTGATTTGTACCCCTCCTGCCCCAATCAATTAGCCCTGTAGATGGTTTTGAAAGATATTTGCAATGGGCCAGTGTGGGCGGAGTTGAAGAGATGTCGCACTGTTGAACTATTGAGTTTTTTTCGCATTCTCCTTTCCACATCCATGATTGGTAATGCTTGAAGTTGCGTTTAGAAAGCTCTCACTTTCTGTGATCGATGTAAATTGCTTCACTAACTAATATTAGATGCTTACCAACTTATCATGGAAAAGTAATAAAGTTTTCGACATCATGAAAACTTCAAAACTAATTCACGTACACAAGCTGAAATTTATTGCTGAGTGTACTTACGAATAATTTTTCAGTTCTGAAGACTGCTTTGAAGTTCGTCAACATTTTTGTACTAACTTGCATGTTTGTTTATTCATATTATTTTCCTACGTCTTTTCACTTAAAGATTTAAAGACTGATTGTTCACATGTAGTATCAATTAGAAAGTTCTATTATTATTAGCCACAATAGAAAAGTCATTTATTAGTTTTAAAAATTTACCGATTACACTTCTGGTCATCATCCTCGAGCGATTACTGCTTCACTAATTTTCTTACATCAATCTGTGATTAGAATAATTCCTTATCATGGGTCGGTATAATTGAACATTAAACGACATTATATTTCTATTTTCGTTAGCATGCTTCTAATATGGTTTTGAACTTGTAACATTTTTACTATACAGTGAAACATCTGTATAATGTCATCCAACTTGACATCTCATCTTATAGTAAGAGTAGTTTGAAAATATTTTCGAATTCTATATATAACTGAAACATATTACTTTTATCGATGTTACTTTGCACATAATATATTGACAAATTATTCAGCTGGCTGTTGATCAGTTTATTTACGGATCAAATTGAAATTTCACTATTGTTTACTTTGAACATACCATTCAATAGAGTAAAATAGATTTGATTTGATTTTTGTGAAAGGTTAATCATGGTGGAGTAGTTTTGATAAATAGATTCGTTTCGATTAGTACTCGTAGTTTTACATTCCTCTCAGTAATTGTAAAAGGATTTTAATTTGTGTATTGCATATTATTGTCAGTTATAATTTTTCATTATTCTCTAATATCTGTCTGAATACAGTTTATCAATGTTCTAGGCACGATCGATAGTTAGTTTTAGTCCAGCTACGCCGACTTGTCTTGCTTATACGTATTTCATCTATGTCAGTCCCCCACGCTTTTTTGTTTGTTTACTGACCAATCAAATTAAAGAAAATTAGCTGAAACATTGACCAATCATATATCCGTATTTTCTTTCATCTAATTTTCAAACCAAACTGACTCGGTTTGGATATTTGTAATTGAATCCAATGCGTAACACAAGGACTCCGGAAACAAATGACAGAATGCTATAAGATGTTTCGTCAGATTTTCTTCTGATGAAAGTGAACATTTGTTTTTCTTAATTTTACAAGTTCAAGTAGCAGATAAGAAAAGACTAATTTGTTCAAATTTTATTCAACTGACAATTTCTTTAAAGAATTGATCCTTATTGCTTGAATTTTATTTTTTAAATCTCAAGGATATAAGTTAGTTTTTATAGTATTCTGAAATAGCTACCTGTTAGATAAAACATTCGTGTATAGTAGTTCAAAATAGGTTACCTGGTTGTTGTTTAGTAAAAAGAAACTCTGCTGCTCTACAGATACTTGAGTGATTATAATATTATTACTGTCAATAAAGATATATCACTTTTTTTAAAAACAGAAGCTTTGTTTCAAACTTTCGATAGCTATGGTTTTAGCGAATTCCAGAAGATCAGAGTTTAGTTCTTTATTAGTCACTTTGAAGGACTTCATTTTATCATTTTGATGACCTATCTCAAGTATATGAATGTCTTTAAATAGTGCTGCTGAAATTTTTGATCATTCCGATCTCGGACATTTTGGAATATATTCTTTGATTCGAATGTAGATCCTTTCTTCTGTCTCAACAATGTAACTGCTTTAACAGATACATTTAAATTTATACACATAGTCGTCGGTAACATGAAAGAGGTACCTATCGATCTTTAATTTCGTTAAAAAAACATGTTATTTCGTATAATACAATCAGTTTGGGTGGAGGATATTTCAATCAAATCATTTTTAGTCCTTTCAGTTCACCGTTAACGTGCGTTCAGTTAGTTGACTGCGTAATCAACAGAAATTTTCAGCTCTATGACCTTTAGTTACTAGTTTGTTGTTCTAGAGTTTCCCCTCACACTATATACATCTTAGACAATTTTTTCAATCTTATTAGTTTTTTTTAGAATCTTCGCTTTATCATACATGATACATATTCACTTCTAGTCAACTTCACGTGTATTAGAATGTTAACTTTTATGAGATTTTAATTCTAAAATGTCATAGGTTTGTAAGTATCTGATGAGGACCTAACTAAATCGAATGAATTCATGTAACCCTACTTAAATGTTTGTCTTCGATCCTTTATATTTGTACTTGTCTAAGCTTTGAAAGTTTTTTGATCATGAAAGTTGTATATTTAAGTCACTTCACCTAATAGGTGTAAACCGGCATAATTTGTCTTGGTGGTTAATGGGTTTGTTATGACCCATTTAAGGTTGTGGCTGATCTTATTAAGAATTGATATTTGTATGCCACTTTTCTGCTGGTAACGTGCTTTACATTAGGTTAGCAATTTATTAGTGAATATTGAGTGAAATGAACTGAATGAATGTAAATTATATTCTTGTATAATCGGTCAGCCTAAACGCTTTATTTGAAAGCCTAGACTTAGCTTTTGTTCATGATGTCTAGTTTACACTTATCGTTATTTTATGCTTTTTTTCCCCAAAAAAGACTTTGGTGAATGAAAGCAATTAAGACATCTGACCCAAATTGGGAATCTTTTTTATTGTATTCTCATGAGGTTGCTTTTTACTGTTAAGGGAGTTATTTCGATTGTAAATCTTTTTTTGAAACATTCTTAAATCTTTTCCCCCCACATGTTTGTAACAAAGAGGTTACTGTAATCTTAAATTAATCACACAACTAATTTTGCCCAATCACTCTTCAGGTGATGAAATCTCTGAACATCATTCTCGTTGGATGTCTAAACAGGAGAAAGAAACAAGTGATAAGTCAGTGTCTAGTGTATCATCAACTGAACATTCAGTTGGTTCAATCAGTAAATTAAATGCTTTCTCAAATAGCGTAGTGGAAGATAAGATTTCGAATGATTTGAATAAATGTGTCTCAGGTGATAACACAACCATTAACACTATTACCACCACCAACAATAGTGTACCTCTTAGTCGCCCTACAGATCATTTAATTGCTATCCAACCTACAAAGTTATCAACTCATTGTACCACAGATGTTTGGAATCCAATCTCTACTTCACAGAATAATAGTATTAATAACAACAGTAATACTACTACTACTAATATTAATGTGGTACAGAGGAAAATTCGTCCACCTCCTAAAAAAAGACTTTCCACAAATTATACTCGATCAAACTCGTCTCGTTCATTTACAGACAATACGAGCTCGACTACAAGTGAGTTGAAATTTAATCGTTTTTAAATACTACTTTATTTGTTTCGTTGACTTCTTGAATATAACATACTTATTTTTAGTAATAGTTTACCCCGTCGTTAATATTCAGGACTGAAATCAATTAACTTATGTTGCTATATGTGGATGGATTACCTCGATATGACCTTTAGTCACAAGTTTATGGCCTCTGTTTGGGAAGTCCTACTCAACTCCTCCCTAGGTGAGGGTATAGTTTAGGAAATCGAAGGGATGTAAAGCAAATATCTGGGTCCTAATCTAGTCTACTGAATACAAAGGGATCATACGGGGAAGTTTGAAAACCTTAATTCCAAACCAATTGTATATATGAGCTCAGGGATCCTGAGGGAATGAATGACTTACGAACATATGTTTGGTCACTGGATCCTACAGCACTGAAGCTCCTAATGTTGATCTACTACTATATTGTGAAATATGCCTTTAGACTAAAATCTCAAGAAGTGGCTTCCTATGAAAACCAACTATTTCGATCCTTGTACTCAGAAAATATCCCAGACCACTCAATTTTTGTGCAGAGAATACTGTTTTTCTACGCAATTGTATCTGTTTTTATATGAATTAACCTAATAATCAACAGGTATAAACGTATAGGTAAGTGTTTGCAATTTTTCATTGTTGATATTCAGGACTGTAACTGATCAGTCTCTATTCCTATATGTGCACACCGAATGGGTCTCGTAAATATAGCCTTTAGTAACATTTTTAAAAGAATATTAGATAACAAGACAATGCAGTATAAATAAAAAGTATAGGAAAGTTTGAATAATTCAGAATCAAATTCAAGATCATATTAAATACAAATAGCTCACTTGTATTATAGAGAATTTTATTCGTTCTAGGTGTAAGATGGGTATTTTAATTGGTTTTAGAAGAAAATATACTTATTTATGTTTATATACTACTGAAGAATCTCAGTAACATAAATCGTGCAATTCCCATTTTTCTGCATTTCATATTACCGTTACTTTTATCAATGATACCAGAATTCCTGGTTTACACACCAAACCGCTGTAGAAGTGCACAAATGGTTGATATTTTGTTATCTTTCTAAGTATCTTAGACTGTTTTTTTTATGTGTGTAAATATTGAATTCAGATCAAATGACTTTCGACAAAAATCATAAATTCGAGTTTTGGAATTATTTAGCTACTGTTTAGCTCTTCTAATCAATCACTAATCATCAATCGAATGCCATGTGTACACATACAAAATTTTACATTAATTAAAGGATTATTAATTTATTTGGTGCGTGTCGATATTTGTTTGACATCATTTGAAGAGAGGTATTAAAAGTTATAAAACACGGAACGTTTGCTTCTTTCTGATTTTCAATTCTTCTGCAATATACATTACTCATTATCACTCTGAAGATCAAATGCATGCTCTTCGAATGTTGTTATAAATAAGATACCATTCACTCTCAATAAATGAAAAGCTGGTGAATATCGATTGATGACATTCTCACTATATTGCAAATTAATTAAAACTAAAGTTAGTCAATTGGTTCTTATCGAATGGATAAATAACAGTATCATCCTTAATCTTTACGGTGTTAATGAGTGTGTAGTTGTGTGAACAATTTCAAACCAGAATGAGATCATTTTCAATGAATTATTACAACTGAGATCAATTCATAATGCAAACTATCTTTAAAATTAATTAGATAAAATTTATTCGGTTAACATTTAATGTACACGTGGAATAATAGGTTAATTTTCTGATTCCATCTCATGAACATTTTAAACTTTATACGTTTAACGTTTTACTTTTTTTGATCAATTAACGAGGATATTAAACTGATATATAGCGTGTAGATTTAGGCTTTTTCTTTTACTATTTTTAATATCACAATGACAACAAATTAAGAAGATGGGAATCAGAACTTTGAAAGAATTCAGACGTGCAAACCATTGAGTGCCAGCTCATTGTTCTAAAGGTTAAGCCTTTGACACGTGATCTGAAGTTAGTTTGTCCATTCTCCGGTGAATGGACACTGTTGAAGAGTTCCACACTACAATGGAACAATTATCCAGTGCTTCCTGATTTTTGAAGATCGGTTCATAGTGCGAACTATAAAAGTTAATTATCTCCACAAACCCCCTATACTAATAGAGAATGAATAATTATGAGACGACAGGTTATTGAACATTCTAATTCAGATTAAGTTTGAGCTTATGTGTGATACAGACAAGCTTTTAGCTAGACTACATTAAGTTTTCAACTACAATAACTCCTACATCACACCTACACAAAATTTAAAGTAATGAACAGTTGTTTTATGAATCTATATGAACAGTTATTAATGAAAATTAAGTCATTCGTACTTTTCTGTACTCTTTATGAACACATACACAATAGAACTTGTTTTCCGCTTATTCACAGAACTCCAGGACAATATTAATCAAACGAATACTTCATCTCCTCCATCTTCGATAGGCTGTGAACAATTAACTGTTTCACAATCTGCCAAACAAGTTATCAATATAACATCAATTTGCTCCTCTATTTCAACGGAACAAATTGATACGCAACTACCTAGTTTCCCTTCTACTTCAGGGATTGGATTACTTCCGACTCCTATACAATTTACTAATGTTGTTTATGGTAATCCAAATTTTATTTCATCACAAAATACACCATTAACTTCTTATGTATCTAACATAGATCCTATTTCACATCAATCCAATCCAATAAATGGATTTACCATGGTTTTTCCTTCACCTAGACCTATTACACCTACACCATCGACATTAAATGGATCTCAACCATCTCCAAGTTTTTTCATATTACCTCAATTAATGGTTTTACCTAGATTTATTGGTTCTTATATACCAATGATAACTGCACCAGAACCATATCCATCTACAATAAATCCTATTCAAAGTACCAATTTAAGTGAAACACGACCATCTACATTCATGACAAGTTCACTTGTAACACCTATACCTACAGCTCAACCTGAATTTTCAACAAATCATCCACCAGTTAAAACAATCATTCTTCAACCTCCTACATCAACTCCTGTATTTGGTGCTGATATAAACACTACAGTTTCTCAATTATCAGACGATCATCAATTAAAGCCGGTTAATAATAATGCATATGATGATGTGAAAGAGATTAGTGGATCTGACTCTAATTTAATATTATCACATCAATCTGTAAGTTTATTTCTATTTTTCTTTAAATTTATTACTTAATAATTAAGCACAGGGGAGAGTGTACACAACGAACTAATAAATAGGAGAGCATGAATATGAAATCTGATCGTTTTGAACATAATTAGAGTGAGTAGTAGGTAAGTGAATGGGTAGGTAATCACAACTGAGTAGTTCAGAATTCAGACGAAACAAGTATTCAATGCTCTTCGATTTTCCATAGTTCCACAAATCTTCCCCGATGTGTTTTTAAGGAGTTGAAAAGTTGACCGATTAGCTTGATGAATTGCAAAGCCTTCACAGTCTCTCGATATATATATATATATATATATATATATATATATATATATATATATATATATATAAGGAGGGGAGTCAGACAAGGCTGTCTACTCTCCCCCTTCCTCTTTCTTCTGACGATTGACTGGATTATGAAGACTTCGACATCTGACGGGAAGCATGGAATACGATGGACATCTCAGAATCAATTAGATGATTTGGACTTCGCAGATGACAGCCCTTCTATCTCATACACACGGACAAATTCAGACGAAGACAAAAAATGTAGCAGCAGCCTCTACATCAATAGGCCTCAACATTCACAACGGAAAAGGCAAGATTCTCAAATACAACACGGAGAACACCAACTCAATCACACTTGATGGTGAAACTCTGGAAGAGGTGGAAACATTCACGTACCTGGGAAGCATCTTTGATAAACAAGGAGGATCGGATGCAAATGTAAAGGCGATGATTGGCGAAACAAGGACCGCATTTCTACAATTGAAGAACATATGGAACTCAAAACAACTCTCAACTGACTTCAAAGTGAGAATCTTCAATACGAATGTCAAGACAGTCCTACTGTATGGAGCTGAAACGTGAAGAACTACTACATCCATCATCAAGAAGGTACATGTATTTATAAATAGTTGCCTACGCAAAATACTCAACATTCACTGACCGGATACCATCAGCAACAGCGTATTGTGGGAGAGAACAAATCTGCTTCTAGCTGAAGAGGAAATTAGGAAAAGACGTTGGAAGTGGATCGGATATGCATTAAGAAAATCACCAAACTGTATAACGAGACAAGCGTTAACTTGGAATCCTGAAGGGAAGCGGAAAAGAGGAAGGCCGAAGAACACATTACACTGGTAAATAGAAGCAGATATGAAAAGGATGAATGTTAACTGGACAGGATTGTCCAGGACAGAATTGGATGAAGAATGCTGATGGGCTGCCTATGCTCCTCGAAGAGGGGTAACAGGCGTAAGTAATATATATATATATATATATATATATATATATATATATATATATATATATATATATAATTCAAAAATCTTATCGTCGTAATTTTCGAAATTTTAATTATGATACACCTTTTCTTTTATTTACTCATCAGGATACATCAGTAAATTCAGTAAAAGACAAATTATTGCTACCGCCAACAGTGATTTCCACCCCAAATAGTCCAAGTTGTTCTAAAAAATATGATAATGCTAAATGTGTATGGAGCAGCAGTGGGTTTAACACGACTAAACCAAGTGAGTATATTCCATTTTTTAAAAAGGACTTACTAACATCGACTTTCTCATTTCATCCTAAGGCCTCCCCTCACTCATTCAGTCAGTTATCAGTGTAGAGCCTAGTACAGATATGCGTTGAGCCAAGTTCTCATGCCATTTTGACAGAATTTTGTTGTTTGAGCTGGGTGGTTTGGTCGTGGACATCTCATCGTTAATCTGAACGATATCATCAGCACAAACTTCAGGTAGAAGTGAAGTGTTCGAATTCTCCCACATATGGTTCACAGCTTGCCCTGTAGAACTCGATGTTGATTGGTTTTTGTTCACATTTAACTTGTCATTGTTTACTTCTGTCTACAGGGCAGGTTGTGAACTGTATGAGGAGAAATTCGAACACTTCTTTTCTACCCGAAGTTTGTGCTGATGATGTCGTTCAGAATAAAGATGAGAGGTTCACAACCAAATCATTCAGCTCAGAGAACAAAACTCCATCAAAATCATCCACCTGAGCTACAAATCTTCACCATCTCATCATATGAACACAATGAGATAAAATGAACAAGATCTATGGTAAAAGATATTGCAATAATTTATTGATGACAATGAGAAAGAAGAATAACTGAGAATAGGGTTCGAAAATATAAAATAGGAAGACGTATGTAAAGGAATTCAAGATTGAGAAGATAAACAGTGGATGCATCTGCACCATTGTGACAGATTCCGAGTTATATCACCCAAAGTCATCAGTTAATGAACACAGTTATCACGCGGACCCCGACCAGATAATCTGCATCTACCAGAATGGTTCAGACTAAGTCATATACATAGTGTATGGTATTTTCTTAGTGTGATGGAATCCCGATTAGTCGTTTGGGGAGATCATTACGGACAAATATTTCATGCAACTATATTGAGGGTATCCACACATATCTCTCACTGATACTTACATCCCATGTAAAGGATAAGTTATCTTGATTGATGTAGAAAATATTTTGCCTTACGTATATTAATCATATAATATTATTGTCATATCTGTCAGTTGTACTTTTGTGATTGGTGTGACCTTGAAACAAACTTATGAGGCCATATTACTTAAAGTTTGGAATTTTCTCTTAATCTTATTGTAAACGCACATACACACGTGACTTTAAATGAAAAGAATTTCTACAGAATTTAGTTTGATCATGGAAAGTCTAAGATTAGGGCACAAATTTTACCAGCAGTTTGAAAGCTGAGTTTAGTTTTGATCTTGACATTCTGTGGAATTTTACGAAAATAATAATATTTAAGTACATAACTAGATTCTAAAGTTCTTTTGTAATAAAGAATTAAAGAATCATGAATTCTTGATTTCAAACCTTAGCGTTCAACAACTAATCATAAATCTATTATTATACAACGATTTACATTGATTTTATTTTGACCGAAAGGTAATATTCGCTTTTAATGTTCAATAGATTTGATCTCTGTGCATATCCTTAAATAATATCAATGAATTGAATCTTTTTATTCGAAACTTTTTATTTGAACTTATTGAGTCGTATCAGACCTTCTAAAAGAATATCATATGAGCTATGAAAACAGTATTTTACGAATATCCGATTTATTCATCTTTTACTTGTATTATTAGGAATTTATTTCTTAGGGTATTTTTTGGTTTTTGCTTTCAACATTCATGAAATAAATTATTTTAAAATGACAGAAGTATCATGATAGCTAGTTACTAGTCTAAGTCATGCTAGAGACTATGAGCGTCTCAACTAGGTTTTTTAAGATAGTGAAAATTTCTAGATATGAATGCCTTAAGTAAGAAAATATGAATTCAGTATTTCTTTTGCTATGACATTTATACATATTGTTACACTTTATATACATCCCTAGTCTAGTTTTGCACTAAGATTCACAAGCTACTAACGGATTCTTTTGTTACTCTGTTTTCTAAATATTAGTGATGCTACTACTTAGCTAACCTAGCTATAATAATAAACAAGGTAAGGTATAAGCACGTAACCCAACAGGTAAATATTTAAGTTCTAATCTATTTCGCTCTTAGTTGCATATGTTTGCTCTGTTGTAGATAACGTTTGCATCATTAAAATATAGATTATATTTTACTTACACATGTATTTACTACAATAATACTTTATTTAAACATGTTTTATAGTAAGAATTCTATGACTTCTTTCTACCTGATAAGTTTTCTGAGATAGGAAATAATTTGTTGGAGTTGTTGTGACTTTAAGCCCGGATTTTTGTCACCTGAATTACTCACCAATCGAAACACGACTTATCCAATCTTAGCACTGTCCCAAACCAATAACGTTAGAACGGTATGAGCAGCCTAGCGTCCTTGGTGCTTTGTCCGCCTAGCCCTTCCACTTGAGTTCAGAACACCGATAACAGCTTTCACTATGCGAATCATTTATTTCAAACAATTGGTTTATATACGAGCCATACAGACCGCATCACACCATAAAATAGGGAATAACATTTGTACAAGATCTAGCCAAAAGGTGACTATGAATGTGGGAGACTGTAATCAATAAACTGAGTATAATTTGGGAACAGTCAATAGTATAATAATAATCTATAGGTCAAAATGAAGCTTATGATAAGAGGAATATAGATATACACAATCTAATTACTGAATAGTTATACAATGAGATATATATAATATTAGTCCATTAATAGTTCTCAGAAGTTACCCGTAGTTTAATCTTTACTAGAATATACCAAGAGTGTCTAGATCCGATCAATAGTGTTACTATTTTTTATTTGAAATTGACCACCCATTAACTCATTCCGAAATAATTCGCATACCACGATTTCGTTTAACATTAGAAGTGTAATAAAGTTTTTAGACCTCGGATTAAAACTCAACTTCTGCGTGTTTTGTTATTTTATTACGTTTGTTTACCAACGGAAAGCTTATTTTCGTTTTTATTCGAACATTCTGGAGTTAACTGACTAGATTTCGAAAAACTATTTGTTAGTCTATTATTTGTTTTTACAGTCATTGTTAACTAACTTGTATATATCTTCAATTGAACTGAAAATTCGTTAGTATAATCGGATGGATTCGTTTTAGGTGTAAGGGATTTGTGGAGACTGTTGACTTTCGTAGTTTACGTCACGAACTAAGTTAAACAACTGTTGAAAACCGGGAAAGCACTGAACAGGTGTTTCGTTTTAGTATGTGACTCCTTAGCAGTGCATATCCACACCCCACCAGAGATTGAACTAAAGTACTCTAAATCTAGCAGCGACCATCAACCATTGATTTGCTGTCCGATAGTTTACATTTCTGACGTAAATCAATATATTATAGTGGGCAACTGTCTCACGGTGTAATTCAAATGGGTGAACTGCATCAGCCACAATTTCTCACTAGAGCTACTGGAATTTCCTCCTTAAATCGGTCACTAATAAGCCTATGATTTTTATTGAAATGAGGAGTCCGTGGAAATTGTCGATCATTTTTACTTGATTACTGTCTTAGATTTAAAAGTCGGCGACTTAAGATTTAACTTTCAACTAATAGGTTAGAGATACAAATTCTACTTCAGGTACTTTGGTTAGCAGCGGCAGAAGCCACCGATTGGTGACCGTTAGTCCTTAAATAATTAAGATATATAAATAAAAAGTCAGTTCATTCATTTCTGCTTGATTACCGAGCTGCATTAAATCTGAACTAATTTTATTTTCTAAAAAGGGTCGTTTTTCTGTATATAGAACACAGGCAATATAAGATTCGCTTTTAGTATTTAAAAATTCAATTGCGTTTCCTATATTTCAGTTGGTTCCCAAGTTTCGCTACGATTCAATTAGAGACAAGGGTGAATTCTAGTGTAGAACATACATAATGCAGTCTACTCTTCCGCATACTACAACAGTGACAATAATAATTATATTGCGTCACATTATTCAACATTACGCTCTTCATATAAATCTAAAAATTATAATTGCCAGTTTATTTGAAGTATATATTCAGTAGAAAAAAAATCGCTGTTATGGTAACCAGGAGATAATATTTTAATTATCGAGAAGAAAAATCTCTTAGTTGACGTAAACAAGAATCAAACAGCGATCACATGTACTCTGCTATAATGTTCAGCCAATTTTTTTCCTTCCTAACCACTTTTTAAATGTACGCAAACCATCATATAGGGTTAAACTTTCTAATTGATTGTTCATAAGATGCAATACAAGTTCAATTGGAAACTTTAAAGAATTGTCATTATGTGTATCGTTTCAATGGTTCCAAGAATGTATCTATTGTTATTACATGAATTATATACGTCATATATATATGTGCTAGCGGTATGCATTTGCAGCTTCTAACTCTGAGTATTATTCTAATGTTACCGCTCTATGAGCGTTAGTTTTCATAATACTTTAAGTTCCCGTTTTTAGTATAAGCTCATTATGAAGTTTCCATAATTACTCTACCTACTTACACCTGTTACCCCTCGTGAAGGAGAATAGGCCACTCACCTGTATTCTCCATAGAATTCTGTCCTGGGTAATCCTTTCCAGTTGTTTTCAGTTGCTATTCATCCTTTTCATGTCTGCTTCGATTCTTGGCACAGTGTTCTTTGACCTTTCTCCCTTCTGTTTCCCATCAGGATTACAAGTAAGCGCTTGTCTCGTGATGCACTTTGATGGTTTCCACAATGTATATCCTATCTACTTCCAACGTCTTTTCCTAATTTCCTCTTCAGCTAGAAGCTGGTTTGTCCTCTCCCATAAAAGTCTGTTCCTGATGGTATCCGACCAACGGACATTAAGCATCTTATGTAGACAATTGTCTATAAATACTTGTACTCCACCTGTAGCTCTTTTAAGGTTACTACCGGTATCAAGCAGGGTTTGTCTTGGGGTCAGCAACCCCATCTCGTAAAAAAACAACCTTGCTAAAAAAACGTCAACCAGAATAATTACTCTATTTAGTTAAAATTTTTATATTCATTTATAGGTTTGTTGAAATATGTTTAAGGATAATTATATATTTATAATAGACCAATGAGTAGAAGTTAGAATTGTCGACACGTTACATAGTTAACTGACTAAGAAAATATTCAACATGAGACTTTGTTGTCAATCCCTTTTGATTAGTTAAAAATAGTTATAAAACACAACAATAGGACAACTTGAAGAAAATAGATTTATCTATTATTAAATGAATTAAACAAATGTAATGCTAGTCGATTACTTTAAAGCTAATAAATATTATTGTGTACTTAGCCCTATCGATCGTATTTTGTGACACTTTTTTAACCAGTAAATTCAGTAAAAAATTGATTGGGATTCAAATCTCTTCAAAGTGAAGTTACCGATGATAAATGTTTTGATGATATTCAATCTCTTACAACTGAGAATAAACTTTTCAATATCATACATTAGAAATGATGTTGTGAATTTTCAACAGCAACAAAACTTGTAATTTATCGCCAATTATTTCCGCTGTATTTTATAAATCATATGAGTTGAAAAGTATATAATTCTATACAGGGTTGAGATCATTGTGAAGATTCTATCTAACAATAATTTATTTTATAAATGTGTTCATTTCAGAATAAATAATAGAAACCAATATACATGTAGTTTCTTAGTGATATAGTCAATAAGACAGAAAACTTGTATAAAAGTGTTTCATTCTTTTAGTAAATGAAATTCATAATAAAACATTCTGCTTAAATTTCATAACATGCCATTTTAATATAGTTAATTTCATTCTGTTAAAACAGTTAAGAAGAGAACTTGATGAATTGGAATTTATTATAATCCCCCTATATTGAAAAACTTCTTCATGAGTTTTGTATGTATGTGTATGTTCTATCTGACTTTTGTTTTTGTATTTAGGTTTTCGACTGAAAATTGTTTTAATTCATTTTATTTACAATTTCCTTCTAATAATTCTATATTTTCAGTCCCAATAAGACCTGTACCCGAAGTTTCTAGAATCAAATCGAACAATGCATTATCAACTGTACAAAATAAATCATTACATGACCATCAATTTCATACTGGAGCGGGACAAAACGCTTCAGATCAAAAAACGTTACCAATACTAGTTTCCAGTCATGATTTAACAAATAATTTCACTAAATTAAATCCTACTGTAACTACATGTCTTGTCACCAGTACATCTGCCAACAATACTATTATTCCTGCCATTAATTACAGTCATTCTTCTTCTTCTTCTACTGCTTCCACTTCATCCTTATCTGGTAATTTTATTTCACCGAGCAAAAGTGTCAGTGTTGAAATTTCAGTTGATAGCAAACAATCTCAACAACAAGTTCAACACAACAAACTTGTTACAATTTTACCAGCCAATCAACCCAACAGGACCAAATGTCAGTACCGACCAATTCATCATAAACGACGAATAAATTTTACAAAGCTCAATAATCATAAAAAATATTTATCGAATTCACTTAATTCACAACGGTCTAACACTTCTATACGTGGAAGATATCGTTGTCAAGATAATTCATTGCATACTACCAAATCCTATCATCATTTAAAAAAACATTGGCATACACATTCTAACATTCGACCGTTTGTTTGTCATAATTGTGATATTTCGTTCAAAACACGCGGTAATCTAAGCAAACATATGAAATCTCGTTGTCATCATGATAGGTAAATGACTTATTGTTTGTTAAATTCCCGAAATTTGTTTGCTGTTTGTTAGAAGATTCGAGTCTTGCGTCTTTTTTTGCTGGGGGGATACAAACAAGAACTAATGGAAAGATTAACTTTGAGCTAAGCTAATTGTATCACGAAATTACGATACCATCTAAATGTTATCAAACACATTTGAATTTTCTTAGTTTATATCACGAACTAATCCTAGTTTGACAACTATTGAAAACGGGGAAGGGCTAACAGTTATTTCATTCTAGTGTGAAACTCAGTAATATGTATCTGCGAACGTGCCAGGGATTGGACCCAGAACATCCAGGTCATGCAGCGAACAATTAACCTTTATATCACTGAACCGACAGCCGTTAGCTTACGTTTCTAACTTAAATCAATGTCCAATATTATGTAACCGTCGTCCAATGCCTTCAGTGGGTAACTGTTTCATGTTCGACAAGTTTGAACTCCAGTAGTCGTGACTTCTCACTAGAGCTCGCGGAATTACCTTTCGAAGTTAATCACTGGTGACCGCATGGTTTCTGTTGCTATGGGGGTTTGCGGATACTTTTGAATTTTTGTAGTTTGAAGGTCTATTTTTATTTATTTGAGCACATAATCATTGGTACAAGTGGGAATCAAATACATATGCACCATACAATAAGAATGAGCTCAGTAACAGTCACCATTGATTTGTGTGAGGGCTGTGACACTGTCCGGGTGCCCAAACCGAAGCAGGTCTAATCCATAAGACAGTGGAGCAAGCTTTGGAGATACAGTCCTATGATAGCCAGCGACCAACAACAGGTTCATACTTCTTTTGTTCCCTCAGGATCCTGAAGCCCATATGCACCATTGGTTTGGAATCAGGGTTTCTCAGCTCCCCTAGGTGGATCCTCCATATCCACCAACCCTGTTAAAGTGCCGGAAATTCGCTTTTCGTCCTCTCACTTTCGTGAACAACATCCTCTCTTCGAGAAGGTAGTGAATAGGACTTTACTGGAAGTGGCTGTATACGCGTGACAATGTGAAAGCATTTTGAGAGGGAGAGCTGACTCTCCTCACTCTCAGCCATACCAGAGCTTTTGGGGACTTGTTAGAATTATTTGTAATTCAAACTTAGTTTCAACTTCAGTCATTCTCCGTTTTTTCAGGCTAAGGTCACATATTTTAACTACACGATGTCTTAATTCTAGTGATTATACAATTCCTTTTTATAGATTTGAGTAATACGATAGACCTTTTATTAAGAGTCATTTTTAAATGTCTTTAGGTAATTGTAAGTAGTAATTATTTGTCGGTTATTAATAATGTAGTCTAGTGCTCGAGGTCTGGGACCTCTCAAATCGAAGTATCTCAGTCAGTCATAGATGAAGTAAGAATTAAAAACACGTGTATCCGATAAACTACTACCCTTCATATTAGCATACTAGGAAGAATTTATCAGGATGGAATCTAAACCAGTCGAAACGATGACTAAGTCTACAGAATTAGTTCAAATTAGGGTGAATGAAATTGGAGAACAAAGATTATGAAACGATGTCACAAGGTAAGAGTCTGAGAAAGATAAAAAGTGAATACGTATTTACTGTGTAACCAACTTTGTATGGCAAATATGCGCATCGATTCAAGCTGTCACACCTTATTAGGACAGCGAGATGAAATTATCGAGATATACATCTGAGTAGCAGATATGACTACAGAATCTGTGGTAGTAGGGAGGTTTCAGCATAGACAATATGATTTGAGAAGATGGAATGAATCCGCTCGAGATTTTAGGGAAGGTAAGGAGTGAGTGCACATGTGTTATTATGACTAATCCTGTTGGTTTTCACCCAATATTTCCAACCACTCGTCACGATAATCCCGAGGACCTCAATTAGGTAATCGTTATCTATCTAGATTTCCCAATCCAGTAGTCAATGGTGTCATGCACTGATATGAAAAGGTCTCCAGCAATAGGTTGCGATTACCATCCATATCCGTCTCAAGAATTTTTCATCTTGTAATGTGGTTCAACTTAACTGACTAAATGGACTATTATCATGTCTTAGTTCTACTACTCAATGTAATTCGTATTTCCCAAAATTAACCATTACCAATACAGGAATAATCATCGTTTTTCTGTACTTTAAAATCGCAGCCTTTTTATTAGGTCAATCTTTAAAATATCGCAAAAACAACATGAACTCATTATTAATGCTTTATCTTGTCATTTTTGCCTAGAAATTAAAGTTCATTCAGCTAATCAATCAATCATTAAATCGTATATTTCTTTATTTCACTTTATGCGTTTACTCATAAACAACAGTTTTAATGACCTTTCTAGTAAAAGTCTATGTATGTGTGGTTGTTCTATATGATCGATAATCTTATTAGTTGTTCTCACTTATCTAGTTCACGTTTATTTATCTTTTCATTAGAAATTCGATTAGAGTTAGGGCTATTAGTAAATAATAGTTGTGATGACTTTGATAGTAATGAACAAGTTGGTGAATTATCAGAAGGGGTTTTGTGGACCTTGTCATTTTTGCCTAGAAATTAAAGTTCATTCAGCTAATCAATCAATCATTAAATCGTATATTTCTTTATTTCACTTTATGCGTTTACTCATAAACAACAGTTTTAATGACCTTTCTAGTAAAAGTCTATGTATGTGTGGTTGTTCTATATGATCGATAATCTTATTAGTTGTTCTCACTTATCTAGTTCACGTTTATTTATCTTTTCATTAGAAATTCGATTAGAGTTAGGGCTATTAGTAAATAATAGTTGTGATGACTTTGATAGTAATGAACAAGTTGGTGAATTGTTTATTTTTGAACACAGTTATAAAGCGATTTAGTCTGCCCATAGTGTATATGTGTGTATGTATCTTGCTGTGTGAAAATGACGGGATTGGTGAATCTTGGTATTGATTAATAACAACAGACCTCAAAGACAATTCGATACGTGGTTGTGAATAGATGCTATCAAACAAGAAGTACAAAATGATAGAAGCTTTGGATTCACATTTTATGTTTATGATACATTCCATACTTGAGCACACTTTGACACTATCTTCCATATCGCATCCTAGTCCTCAGGATTCTTTGATTCTCAAACCTCGAGTAGAAAACTAATGGCGGAAAGTTTGGAAGAAGTTTTACTTCAAAGGTTATGTACAGAAAACTAGGCGATTTATAAGTTTATATGTAATCTTCAAGCTTCTGAAATCATCCTATTCTGATTTGTTTTGCGAAAAAACAGCAATTCGATCAACATCAGTGTCATGAAAACTGTATGGTATTCTTTTGCGACTGATTAATAACAGTATTTGGAGGCCATTCACGTTAGTCATTAATACCCACTTACTTACGCCTGTCTAAAATCTGCCCTGGGAGTTGAAGGATCTCCATTCAGAAGAATTGACACCTCATGGTGAAAGCCGAGATTCTTCAGAAGTTACGAGGCCGATGCTCTTTCTATCAACCAGAGAAACAATTAATATAGGTACATGGGATGGAATAATACCTGCTAGTCATTTTTAACATTGGGAAGTTGTTTAGCTGACTTCAGGTTGAACTCAGTAACTATGCTTCAGCTTAGAAACAACATAGTTTTCAGACTAATTCACAACTACTACCGATATTGTTTTTTGTCTCTCAACATGATATGTGATTTTTGGTAGTGTAATTATAGCATTAGTCGATCTTTGAAGTAGCAAACCAATTTAATGGTCAACATCATGTTTAATGTGTTTATTTTATGTTTTTCTCAGGTTTTTACGAGACTCAGGATCCACCGAAGTTCCTTTAGAGACTAATAGTTCTGTTACGCCTGTATTTAATCAAGATTTGGGGCACCAATCTAGAGAAGTGCCTCATAACTCAACGATTAATAATAATAACAGTATATTTGAAGACCGTCAAAATTATCGTAAATCACCAACTATCTCATCGGCATCATCATTGTCCTCATCGTGTAAAACAAGGAACTCTACAGGAGCAATCAACAATCGTTCAATCCCTTTTGGTAGCAAAAGGAATGAAGTCAAATCTTCATTGTGTACTGATTTTCATGGAACTACTTCTAAATCATTATCATCATCAACATCAACACCGGTATCAATATTACCATCATCACCAGGAATTATGTCTTCTAAAGCTTCAACTTTACAGTCGAATATCACAGGCTCAAATGTAGTGGATTCATCTAGTCGTATTCCAGCTCCTAATGTTAATGCAGTTAATTTATCACAGGTGATTTATTATTATTTTAATAAAGGGATAAATTATTTTCATCGTGTTTATTATTTATTCTCCAGATTTTACATTTTAAAAAAACTTTTATAAAACTCTCATTATTACACAACAGACGAAAATTACACATTTTCAAAAATCACCATGATTTCTTGATTCAAATCATCCAATGTGTAATATACTTGACATGGATGAAGTAATTTTTTGGGATATAATGCTGCTTAATGTTTGGTAGTGTTATTTTTAGTTAATGACTAGGGATCAAAATTCAAATATACGTTTCATTCTGTTGAAAATTTGACAACTGAATGGATGTTGGTGTATGCACTAAAACTAACATTTTACTACTCATGTCCTTAAAAAAAACTACAGAATATTGTTTATCAGGGTGCTAAATTGAAATAACCTGTTCGCAAAGTTAGTCTAATATACGATTTTCTGAGTAAGACCTTGGACACTATCGATATATAAGTACAAATAGTGAGTTGAACAACAAGCTATTCAGGTAAATATTATATTATCCTAGTTTGTTAAATTGATAATAATTATTTTTACCAGTAGACTCCGTTCGTCATTTGTTTTGTGAAAGCAATAAATTTAATTATATAGAAATATGTTTTGCTTATTCACAACTGACATCAGCTAATGAACCCTATAGTCATGTTACAGGATGTTGACAAAATATAGGGTTTTCTGAAGACTTTGATTGAAATCCTACAATTGGTCTATAACAACAGCTCAGAAGTAAGTGGTATGGCATGTTGTTCTTTTTTTCCTTTCAAGCTAGATTAGCTCTTGTGAAGAGATAATCAACAAAGTGTGAACAATAAAGAAATCTTGACTAATTTTATCGGTTAAGGTCTTTTGTAGCCTTGAAGGTGCAATAGTTTATCTGAATTTTATGTAGTTGAAGGTAATCCGCTTGAAACCTTGCACTTAGGGGTAGGACTAAACTATACTGCCGAACCAATCAGAAGCTTTCGTGGGTTTTCAAGGTCACGGCACTAGGTTCGGTACTTGATGCTTACGTACGATCGGTTTACAGCGGATTTTAGGGAAGACGTGATAATTCAGGGTCTACAAGAGAAGTGATCATAAGATTTTGGCGCGAAATTCAATTATCCATTTGGATAAATAGAGTTTTGGCATTATAGCTGATGTCAGTTCGTGATGAAAACCCTAAGTATAGTTCCTAGCCTTAACCGTGAACGTTAAATCATAATTTGAATTCTTCACACAGGTTTATACCCTCATTTGGTCTTAGCTATTATGTTGACACTCAGAGTCACTCTAGCGTCGCTCAAAGGTTGTCCATAACTTATAGTCTCACCCATAGCCCTAAACCTTAACTCTAACCCTAAACCATACCAACATACCAACAACATTGAAGCTACGTGGTCGAGGCTAAAAGAATTTTCGAGACCTTATCATGGTTTCAGAGGTCGACTACTATGGAGCCATTTGGATGTGTTCCTGTACCGTATGCACTATGATTTTAGAACTTCTGAACCTATATCTGACCTTGAGAAGTTTTTGACTCATGTAAATAAAGTGTTTCCACTTTAATTCTTTGGTTTTGTGTAATAAATTTTTACTGTACACTAACTGTCTTCTGATTGGCTAATATTTCTCAAGGTCATTTAACATTCGCTCAAAGGTCGGCAGTATAGTTTAGTCCTACCCACTTAGGTTTCATGTCAGTTGAACTCATCAAGATTGCAGGTACGCCTTGCTGATGAATAAGTCATTTGTTATGCAAATAAATTACTTTCATTTTTCTTATACTGATGCAGAAATATCTTGACTTTATTGGCGAGACTACAATTTATAGACGAACCGGGGAAATTAAGGATAGCATATCTTGAGCATTGACGCGGAATTCATTTATCTACATAGTTAAATAACATTTTGGCATTATGGCTGATGTTAATTCGTGGTGAAAACCTTAAATCTAATTCCTAAACGTAACTTCTAACTATACATTTTAATACTAACTCATACTGATGTATAAACCTTTTCAACCCTAGTAAGTGGATGAGTCGTCTCAAGGTCACTTTAACGTTGCTCAAATGGCGTCCATAAATTATATTCTCACCACTTTATTCAGTGAAAATACAGTTTTACAATTTATGCTCACTAGTTTTTTCGCGTTTGTAAGCCAACTCAAGTATTGCCTAATTAAATCCTTTCTTGTTGGTGCATTTACAAATACAAAATAGTTTCTCTATTTGTTTCATTTACCAACTTTGGTTTGAATCTGGGGTAATATTTTTTACGAATTCCTTTCATTCTTCGTTAACTATTTAGGATTTACCAATGAATTTAAGTGCTAAACCACAAGAACCAATTGCTCTAATAAGATATATCGTTGAACCATCAGTTTATACTAAAATGAATGGAATCCAATCGAATCGTTCAGAAAATATGACATGTGATAAACAAGTTTCAAATAGTTGTTTGTCATCAGCTGAAGTAATTGTTCAAACAGCTGTTGAAGCAGCTCGTAATCTTGCTACAGATAGACCAAATTTAAAACAGACAGATAAATTTAGTCATTCTACACCAGACTCAAGTGAGTATACCATGTTTGACCTCTTAAATTCATGAGACATTTTCCTTTGTAAGAATATATTCAGAGCATACATATGATTAATTCTTTAAGTTAATTTATATGCTTTCATCGTAAACCTGTACCAACCACTAGCCTTTGAAAGACAAAGTAATTGAAAAAATGATATGGAATGTAATTTTGTAACTAGATTTAACCTCGTACTATGAGATGTAAGCTAAATTAATTTGTTATATGACGTGTAGGTATACTACTTAATTATTTAAGCCGAAATAGGTGGGCAGAATCTCAATAAGTGTCATTCGGTGGTTGACAGTTGAGAATACTCGGGCTATACTATCAATAATTGTGTTGTAAAGTTTAAAGACATTACCTTATTATTCAGATTTTTCAACACTATGTACCAAATGTAGGATGTCTACCGAGAAAATGAATTAATTAGAAAAATTTTAAAATCTATTGAATGAACTAATTTAAGTAACTGATCAGAAATACATTTTGAAGGTAATAAGTTTATCGCTCTTAAACTAGTAAAATTCAGATAATAGTAACAATTATAGATGAGAGCATATCTATTAATTATTTTATATAATTTATAGTTGTTTATTACTATCTGAATTGTTGGTAACTCATTTGACAAGCACAGGTTGATTATACTTCTGAAAAATAACGTTTAGTGATGCTTATTGAAGTGGATAGTGTTCAATTCGAGCCTGAGACTTATTTGTTGGACTGTTTCACATCTCTGACATTTTAAATGTTAATTTCAGGTTTGCTATACTGTTCTTACATATTATGTAATAATCGACTTGACTAATTATTGTTGTTCAGCATGCTATCAGTAGATTGTACAAACTTTATACTACATATATAACATTTATGGAAGTAAATTAATTGTCTAATAATTCTCAATTTTATGTTGATATGTATGTACCTATAAATAGTTTTCATTTTGTAAATTATAAATTGTTATAAAGAGCATTTTCCTAGTGTTTTATGCTTCTAATGGTCTATTATTATCCTTATTATTATTATTAGAAAATTTTGAAAGAATACCCACTTCAGGAAATTTATCTGATCATGTAAAACCAATCGATGCTCAAGTGATAAATTTCAATGCATCAGATTTAGATGAGCAGTATTACACTAGAGGATTATCCACTTCAACTCCATGTTATCATAAAAATGGTCGAAATGATAAATCATGTTCACTTCCTTCTGGTAGCAGCAGTTGTACAACCTGTACAGAAGACTCTCCTACATCAGAAAAATTAAATAAGGATATGAAACAGAACAATGTAAAATCGTTACATACTTCAGATAAACCAGAATCTGAAACACGACAAAGTCATGGAGTTAAATCTCATGGCTATTTAAAAGATCCACGCCCTTATAAATGTAATATGTGTCATGTAGGCTTTCGTGTTAGTGGGCATTTATGTAAACACTATCGTTCTAAATCACATATGTCAAATATTTTACAAATGGCTCAATTATCAAATAGTACAATCGAACGTATTTTGCAAAGTCATATGGGCAATCTTCAACTTATTAATCCAGACACTGGTGAATTGAGTATGCGAATATTAGAAAAAATAATTCCACCGTGTGAATTTCCAACAATGACACCCGTTAATTCAGGAACAAATGGACATAACTAAAAATCTGCCCTAATTGTATCTGCTTTAACAATTGTGATCACAGTGTAAACTGTTTTTTGTACATATGATCAAAATTTCTAAAATAAACAATGATACTTATTTTTTGCGACACTCAATTTTCTTTTCGTTTCATAAGTTGATGTTAAGCAGGTGTTTGGTATTCTGAAAGTCCGGCGGTGAACATTTCCAGTTCCATATGAATTAGACTTACGATATTCACGTTTTCTTAACTCATTGCTAAATGCTGTTTACTAATAATCTGGGTTTGATTTTACATGAGCTTAACCATATGAACTGATGAAGAATTCCATTCAAAAACATCTGGTTGTTCATTCTTGAAATTTACTAGCCCTCCGAATGACTTTAGTTTCGACGTCAGCAAACAGTACGTTTTATAGAAGCCTTTTTTATGTCTGAACAAACGTATACGAGTGATGTCACGAAGGGGACAATGACCGAGCATAAAATTGTCAAGCATTATCAGCTTGGAAGGGATGAACTCCGTAAGTATGAGGTGCAATTGCTGTACATCCGACAATTGTAACTGAGCTTACAGAGACGATTTGATACATATAAGTCTACAAACAAGCACTTAAACTATTTTGAATATTTAACCAGTTATAGATACTTATCAATTGATTCAAGACCTGAATGCGGCGAACCATATACTAACGGATATTAGGCGCCAACTAATTGAGTACTCGCATGTCATGCCATATTAGAACAATGCAACAATACAGGATATTTTCTACGGAATTCTAAATATATTTTTCTTAGAAACACCCCTCTCCAATAGTCAGTTCCTGAACACAGAAAGTCTAAGAAATAGAAGCCAACCTTGATAAATACGATAATTGTTAGATTACAATACGTGATACTACTCAAGAATTTACCGTTGTTATGATGCTGATTCCACAGAATTCCACCATGAACCCGCACTCGTAAAGCATGAACATTGAATGTCGGATTTTGTAATGAAGTGTAACTATGGAGAAGCAAGATTTCCGGCAGTATTAGGGTGTATAATTAAATAAGATGGGAAAAAACAAGGAAAACATATAAACTCCGTTAGATAAAGTTATGTTGAAAGGGTTCATAGCCTTCGACTCCTCAGTTTTACATGTCATGTCATAACTGATTTCACCACATTTCCTACTTGTCTGTTCTACAAGCTCGACTCAGGATACAATATTGAAAAAGATGTTACGAAATATTAAGGGTGCTATTTCGTAAGCTCTCTTTGAAGGAGGAATTGAATTGTCGGTATTCATATACTGTTTCAATCAAGTAGGAATCTTATCTTTAGATAGAAAGCCTAGTACATAGAGCTTACTTTTCTATCCGTTTAGGAAAATGATAGCCCTAAGGAAGCATTACACACTCAGCGCACTAGCACATTTATCTTTGTATATTGTGTAGCTATTCGAAGGATAAAGCGGAATTCACGACCTACCAGCTTGTCATGCAGCACACCTTGAATGGTTGGCACCCAGCCTTAAGTGTTGTATACGTTTCGCGTTTACCTGTAGTATTTGACGAAGCAAGACAGTTGGATACATCATGGTAAGCTCACTCTTTGTAAGAAGTCGAATGTTTTACCAAGGTCGTAGGTGGTATATGCCAAACGAATTTGTACTGAGATATCGTCAATGACCAACAAATTTGACTACTTAATTTCGTTTTTAAAATAAGCGTTACTGAAGAACCATCTTAAACGTAGTGAATATGAAACACGTAGATTCTAGTGAGCAAATACAATAAGTAACACGTATTCGTACTGACAACTATAGATAATTTTCTTAGTACCACGGAAATACATCCGTTTTTGTAAGGACATGTGGTAGGGATTCAAATTGACTGTAACCTTTGCGAACCTGATAACTATATTTATTAGTAAGAAGTTAGTCCCTCTGATAAAATTAAAAATACAATGATAAGACGGAATTTATCAGAACTATGTAATTGTTCGAAATCTATTGCTGACATATCATATAGTCCTGATAAACTTCTCATTGCATAAAATTACATTCATTGGGACTACCTCTGAAAATCGTACTAGCTCCAATCAAGGCGGATTATATTTATAATTCAGTTAACTGTTAAGTCGTAAGCTAAGTATTAGTCTTGGTAAAAACAAAAATAATATCTTTGAGGTGTTTCACCTGTCAATCCAAATTTGATACAAGAGTAGGAGCTTTATTCATGTACAGTGATTTAAATGTAAAAATATCAACGAACAAATAAATTTCTTTGGTGTGCTGTTGGTTTTATAATACAAAATAATCTCTTATCATGTCTATTTTGTGTAAGAGCAAGTGTTTCATTAAGCAAATAAATATGATAAAGAGCAGTTCATCACGAAATAAAAAGACTACATAAGTCACTCAATCAGGGTGTTATTTTTAGTCCTTGAATAACGTTTTGGTTTCAGTTCATCCATATAATCGAGTTAACTTCAACTGTAGCTCTTCTAGAGTTACTGCCGGTCACAAGCCCGCGTAAAGGAGGAGGGTTGGGCATAAAATAGCAACCCCATTGTGTAGAAAACTAACCCGCTAAAATAACGCTAACCAGAAAAAATTATTCAAACCATTTAAACTCTGCCCTTGGAGTTGAAGGACTAATTATGACGCCTCATATTAAAAGCCGAGATTCTTCGGAAGTCACGAGGATGATGCCCCTCCTAACAACCAGGTCAACAATTAACATAGGTACATGGAACATCCGGACAATGTGAGAGGCCGGGAAGACCAGTCAAATAGCAATGAAAATAAGGAGATACAACTTGACGGTTATCGGAATCAGCGAAATCCATTGGACGCAAGCTGGACAGTAAAGGCTAGACACAGGAGAGATGTTGCTGTACTCTGGTCACGAAGGGGAAAATGCTCCACAACTCAAGGATTTGTTTTAATGCTGTCCAGAGAAGCACGAAATGCCTCTCCTAACAACCAGGTCAACAATTAACATAGGTACATAGAACGTCCAGACAATGTGGGAGACCGGGAAGATCAGTCAAATAGCATTGGAAATGAGGAGATACAAATTGGCAGTACTACGGTGTGGGTTGCTCATATCCACATAAGTAGTATAGTGATGGCCAGACATAGAATGTATTTTGGCAGATCGATAACGAAATAACAGGAACGAAGCGCAATCGGTTTGAAAATGCAAGAACAATGAAATCAAAGACGGACTGATACTTAGAGAAGTAACAGTCAAGATTGAGACAAATGATTGTTATTTTGCAAATTAACTGTTTACTGTATGGTTATCACATTTTAGTGAGACAGTTTCTAATTTGTGCTTAAGTACATTCAATATTCCTCACTAGTGTACTTGCTCACACAAGCTGGACAGCAAACGTTAGTTACGGGAGAGATGCTGTTTAACTATGGTCACGAAGAGGAAAGTGCTCCACACACCCAAGGAGTTACTGTAATGCTGTCCAAACAAGCACGAAACGCACTCATAGGATGGGAATCTCATGGATCCGATATCATCAAAGCATCATTCAAAACAAAGGAGGGAATCACAAGGAATCTTATCCAATGTTATGCACCCAACAATATTGGCACTGACGACCATAAAGATCAGTTCTACTCGAAGCTACAATCGATCATCGCAAAGTGCCCAGGATAGGACCTGACCATCGTGATGGGAGATCTAAACGCTAAAGTCAGAGTGGACAAAACAGAATATGAAGACATAATTGGAGGACATGCACTAGCAGAGAGAAATGAAAGTTGGGAGATTTGCGAATCTATATGCATTCAACAAATTGGTTATAGGCAGCACAATATTCCCACACAAACGCATACACAAAGCTACATGGATCTCGCCGGACCACACCACAGTGAACCAGATAGATCACATCTGTATCAACAAAAAATTCCGAAGGACTATGGAAGATGCGCGATCACGGAGAAGAGTTTCAGATCACCACCTGATTGTGGCTAAGATCAGACTGAAGCTAAAGAAAGACTGGACAAACAGCATTACAAAGGTTCAGTACAGCCTTTCTTTAAAATACTAATAAACTCAACGAATTTAAGATAACTCTCAACAATAGGTTCCAAGCTCTACAGGATCTACTGAAAGAAGAAGAAACTACGATGGAGGAAAACTGGAAAGGGATAAAAGAAGCACTAACTTCAACGTGTCAGGAGGTTCTAGGCCGCAAGAACCAGCATCATAAGGAACGGATTTCTATGGGAACCCTGTAGAAGATTCACGAGAGGAAGAACAAGAAGACAGCAATCAACGACAGTCGAACAAGAACAGGGAAAGTCAAGGTACAAGCATAGTACGCAGAGGCAAACAGGCAAGTGAAGAGAACCATTAGAGCCGACAAGCAGAAATACATGGGCGGACTAGCAACGACGGCGGAAAACGCGGAAATAGAAGGGAATATGAAACAATGAAGATATGATACAACGAAGAAACTGGCAGGGAGATACAACAAACCGGAGATCAGTCAAGGACAAAGTAGGAAAGACAATCATGGAGATTCAAGAACAGAGGAAAGGATGGGTTGAATACTTCGAGGAACCGCTGAATAGACGAGTCCCATTGAGTCCACCATACATCGAAGCAGCACACACAAACCTTCTCATAGATGTCACTCCACAAACGATCGAAGAAGTCAAGATGGCCTGTCATCAGACTAATCAAGAATGAGAAAGCAGCACAACATGACAATATACCAGCTGAAGCACTGACGCCAAACATTGAAGTAACAGCAAGCATGCTTCACCTTCTATTCAAGAAGATTTGGGAAGAGGAACAAATGCCAATGGAATGGAAAGAAGGACACCTCATTTAGATACTAAAGAAAGGAGATCTGATCAAATGTGTGAATTAGAGACATCACACTGTTGTCAGTACCAGGAAAAGTTTTCAATAGAGTGTTGCTCAATCGGATGAAAGACACATTAGACTTCGAGATCAACAGGATGGATTCCGTAAGGATCGGTAGCGCACAGACCAGATCGTGACATTACTGATTATCGTCGACCAATTAATAGAATGAAACTCATCACTAAACATCAACTTCATTGACTATGAGAAATCGTTTGACAGTGTGGATAGGAGAATCTCATGGAACCTCCTTCGACAATATGGTGTACTTGAGAAGATCGTCAACATCATACGGAATTCATACGACGGACTACAGTGTAATGTGGTGCATGGAGGACAGCTGCATTTCCAGTAAGGACCGGGATCATACAAGGCAGTCTACTCTCCTCCTTCCTCTTTCTTCTGACGATTGACTGGATTATGAAGACCTCGACATCTGAATGGAAGCACGGGGTACAATGGACGTCTCAGAATCAATTAGACGATTTGGACTTCACAGATGACCTGGCCTTCCTCCTATCCAAAACACACGAACAAATACAGACGAAGACAATAAATGTAGCAGCAGCCTCTGCATCAATAGGCCTCAACATTCACAAAGGAAAAGGCAAGATTCTAAAATGCAACACGGAGAACACCAACCAAGTCACACTTGATGGAGAAACTCTGGATGATGTAGAAACATGCACATATCGGCAGCATCTACCACACTGATAGATGCTCGAAAACTCATCCCACCTGGTTCTGAACGTAACGAAGAGTGGAGTCAGCTTAAGCGAAGGCTAATAAGAAGGCTACGCAATGATCGTGAACAGTGGTGGGTAGCGAAAGCAAGAGAGATGGAATAGGCAGCGGCAGTAGGTAACAGCAGACAGCTATGCAGACTTATTAAAGAAACCGGCATTAGGAACCCAACTATTAGCGAAACTATCTCAGACAAAGATGGGCATATCATTCATTCTCAATCCAGGAGATTGGATCGATGGGCAGAACACTTTAGGGATCAGTTCGACTGTCCTTCAGCCACATTTCAGTTACCCATGATCCCCAGTCGTCCTGAATGGCAAATTGATGTAAGTCCTCCAACTCTCTACGAGGTTGAAAAAGCTATAGGAAATCTAAAGCGAGGGAGAGCAGCAGACCCTGACATTTTTAAGGATGGTGGTGCAGTACTAGCAACGAGATTGACTGAGGTCTTAGGTAGAATCTGGGAACTGGACGTAATTCCATCTGACTGGTCCCAATCACTGATTGTGCCAGTCTATAAGAAAGGATAAAAGTACTCCTGTGACAATCACAGAAGAATCAGTTTGACTAATATAGTGTCTAAAATATTAGCTTCAATAATACTTCGACGCCTTACTAAAGCTCGTGAAGAGCAGACTAGAGAAAACCGGGCTGGTTTTCGACCTGGACGTGGTTGCATAGACCAGATATTCACCCTACGTCAGGTCCTAGAACATAGACATACGTTCAGACGTCCCACAATAGTAGTATCTCTTGACCTTAAGGCGGCATTTGACTCTGTTGATCGTGAGGTTCTATGGCAGTGTTTGTCACTGAAAGGAGTACCAAAGAAGTACATTAACCTCATAAAGGCTCTCTACTCGAACACAACTGGTCGAGTTGGAGCCTATGGCGAACTGTCATCTGAATTGGTTACCTCAAGTGGTGTTCGTCAGGGTTGTCCACTCTCCCCATTCTTGTTTAACTTTGTCGTTGACATGCTTTTAGAGGTATCGCTTTCATCATCTCAATCTCCTGGAGTTGAACTTTTACCAGGAGGCTCACTTGTTGACTTAGAATACGCCGACGACAGTTCTATTCGGTGAAGACTCTGACAAAATGCAGTCTTCTGACCACTATAAGCGACAATGAAGGCATGTTCGGGATGCGATTCTCTCCCTCGAAGTGCAAAATGTTACTTCAGGATTGGGTTGCATCGACACCTGAACTAATGATAGGGAGTGAAGAAGTTGAGCGTGTTGACTGCTTCACTTATCTTGGGAGTCTCATCAGCCCTTGTGGTCTGGTGTGACGAAATCTCAGCACGGATACAGAAGGCTCGTCTAGCTTTCGCCATTTATGGCGTAGGCGAGATATCCGTCTAGCAACAAAAGGACAGGTTTACTGTGCAGCAGTTCGTTCCGTCCTACTTTATGGATGTGAAACATGGCCGATAAGAGTAGAGGATATTCGTAGGCTACTAGTGTTCGATCATAGGTGTCTTCGAAGCATTGCTCGTATATCCTGGGATCACCGGGTAAGTAATGCAGATGTTAGGAAACGGGTACTAGGTAAGGATGGCAAATCGATTGATGAAGTAGTTAAACTTCACCAGTTGAGATGGCTGGGACATGTGTTACGTATGCCCAACCACCGACTGGTGTAGGAGCAGGTTGGAAGAAAGCTGGGGCGGCCAGACCAAAACATGGCATAAATCCATGAAGTCACTGACAAGTGGACTGGGCCATGTTGGTAGGTGTAGACTACCTGGTTGGGATTCGCGAGATGATAGCAATCGATGGTTAGAGACCTTGAATGACATGGCTCAAAATCGTTTGCAATGGCGAAGGTACATCCACTCTTTGTGTTCTACCAAATTTTAATCTTCTGAATTCTTCATGTCCCTATCCTTTTTCTCTTTCCAAATTTATTTCACCGTATTATACTCCTTCAATAACATCTTCAAACCCTTATCTTTCACATAATACTTATACTCTTACTACTTCTACCAATGTGGGATTTGAATAGAAAACTGCGTCTCTGTGCTAATGTGGTATGGCAACTCGAACAGATTTACGTACGTACGAAGTTCTACGTTGTAACTGACTGATGCACATAACTTGGAAGCATCACAGATGAACAACGAGGATCTGATGCAAATATAAAGGCGATGATTGGCAAGACAAGTATCGCATTCCTACAATTGAAGAACATATATGTTTCGATTTTGTGCCCGGCTTTTTGTCACGTGGTTTTCTCACCAATCGAAACACAACTTATCCAAACTTAGCACTGTCCCTAAGGCGATGATTGGCAAGGCAAGGACCGCATTCCTACAATTGAAAAATATATAAGACTCAAAACAATTGACAACTAACTTCAAAGTGAGAATCTTCAATACGAACGTCTAGACAGTTTTACTGTAGGGAGCTGAAACGTGAAGAACTACTACATCCATCATCAAGAAGGTGCATGTATTTATAAATAGATGCCTACGCAAAATACTCAACATTCACGGACCGGATACCATCAGCAACAGCGTATTGTGGGAGAGAACAAATCAGCTTCTAGCTGAAGAAGAAATTAAAAAAAGTCGTTGGAAGTGGATCGGACATACGTTAAGGAAATCACCAAACTGCATCACGAGGCAAGCGCTAACTTGGAATCCGGAAGGGAAGCGAAAGAAAGAGGAAGGCCAAAGAGCACATTACGCCGGGAGATTGAAGCGGATATGAAAAGGATGAATGTTAACTGGAAGGGATTGCCCAGGACAGAGTTGGATGGAGAATGCTGGTGGGTGACCTATGCTCCTCCACGAGGGGTAACAGGCGTAAGTATATAATCGTGTCAGCTCAGTGAATTATTTAGTCAGAAATTAACGTAACCTGTTCTATACACAAACTTAACATGGACTCGCAGGTATTTTGGTATTATAAGACGGTCAACGGAAGAGAATTTTCAGGATATATAAATTTGTTTGTTTTACTGGTTATATGTTGGAGCAATCACTATAGGATGCAGCAAATAATAAATTAAATCTTCACTATCAGTCATTTGTGCACCGCTAAGCGTCAATGTTCAATAACAACAAAACACAAACACTAAAAACTATGTAATAATTGTTATTTTTAGGTGGTGGTGACGCGTGTTTACCTTTAATGGATCTTCAGTCATCCTGTTTTTCCACAGCAACAGAGTAGCTTAGAAAGTGCTAGTAGTTGAAATACTACATAGATTTTCATCCCTGGAGGTAAGATATATAAAGTACAAGCCATTACTGCAGAAATAACCGCATACATAATGTTCATGATTGATTGGTCTTAAGGAGTTATTCCTCTGGTGCTCAGGTCATACCCCTAGGTCGACTAGACCGTGACTACAAATCTAGTTTCTCTCTTATGAACTATGGTGATAAGTCCTATAAGTATTCATTTAATTATTAATACACATTACATAGTTTATTAAATTTGCTGATAATATACACCTCAGTAAGAAAAATAACGTTTTATCCGAAGCGCTAAACGCTATTTTAAATTCTGGAGAGAAATGGATAAGCATTATGATAACACATTTTAAAATGCACGAAAGAAAAGACCCAAACTTTTTTCGGTAACGTTCATATTAACTAGCGAGTTTATTCGTAAAGAATGAAACAATAAGTTTTTTTTCAATTTTTACAGAAACATAAAACATTAACAAGTTAACTGCATAGAACATATCTGTGTAGTTGAAATAATTAGATAAAGCATTCAAGAATAATAAAATTAGGGAGGGTGTGGGTTTTCATTTAGTTCCGCAAGAGACGGAGTTAGAAAAAAAGAAAACAAGGATGATAGCGGGGAATCAGATTTGATCACCATATCGTTTAACGCTGAAAAAAAAACAACCAAATAATGTGTTAATAGAGCAATTATCAATTTTTAAATAAATGTGGCGAAACACCCACAATGAGTACTATAAGATCGTCATCGGTACATAACTAACACACTATTGATATTCAAAGTTCGACGCAGAACTTCGCACAAAAGATTATTCGTTCAATATCCCAAACATGGAGTGGTTCGACACAATGGTTGAAAACAAAGTACCTAAACTACCGACCCACAGTTCCCAAAGAAGCAGAAAGTGATATATATGTATATCACGAGCACAAACTTGACAATATATATATATATATATATATTCCACATCTACCAAATGATGTAACAAGAAATATATATCAACATGCATCAATCCAACCTAATATTAAAGTGCAAAATCGTTAAAAACATCAACTGTTTGATCTATAAACTGGAAGATTCATTGAACAAAGACGGTCTATACATTCTATGGTGTCGATGCGATAGTTTCAGATATACACGTACAGGATTTATTGCTAACCACTTTATTACTTAACTAAATATATGAACACTTGTCGCATCAGTGCGGCGTATATACATCTGGTGCTCCCTTGTACAAATATTTATGTGTTCAAATAAATAAATAAACTTGTCGCATCAACTGATAGACGCGGGAGATATTTAAATATTCTTCAGCTTGCATTTATGGTGTGGAAATTCTTCATTTTTAACACTATTTTACTAAAAGCGATTAAACCTCGGCCAGTATAGAATTTCGGCCAAAATTCATGTCTCTTCAGTATCAACCAAATAAACAGTTGATATAGTCACTAAAATTTGGAGCAAATCGTTCGGCATCTAAATTACTCATTTTGACGCACAGCCGGATTTGTGCGTTGAATACTGTATTACAAAAAGGTGCTCATATGAGCGAATTCTATGATGAATGCTGTTCGAAATAAAAATGCACATTCGATTCGGACTAGCCATAATGGTATTTACCAGTCAGATAGGTATGGTATTTTATTTCAGGGTAAACATAGTACTATATTAGTGCAAAATGCTATCTGTAATAATTGATTTGTTGATGAGTTCAAAATTACCTCTCGTTAAAGTATCCTGGGGGCTCGAATTGTTTTGTTTAATAGGCATGGAATAGAAGCTTCTCAGAGATATCCAAAGAATTGAAGAATTATGTACCACGTTTTGATAGGATAGTTGCCTGTCATTATTATTCGGTATCTTTTCAGAAGACCAAGGTCACATGAAACAAGCACACTCAATGGCGCGACAATAATTTATGGACGACTTTTAAGAGACGCTAAGGTGACCTTGAGGATATCCAGTTACTAACTAAGACTAAACGAGGGCTATAAACCAGTGTGAGGAATTAGGATTATAATTTAAAATCAACATCAGCTAAAATGCCAAAACGCTATTTAACCGAATGGATGAATGAATTTCGCGCCAAAATCCAAGACTTGTCATCTTATATCTCATTGCTTCGTTGACAAATTATAGTACCGCCGTTGAAGCGAAATTGTAGTTGGGAGTTACACGAAGCGGCTAGGAAGTCAGCAATAAGCATACAAGTGGCAGACTTATCAGAATTTACAGAAAGTTGCATAAATAGAACTATGGTTGTTACTGAGGGACCAAAGTTGGATTATCGTTATGACGCCGGATTAAGCCAGTTAGTTTGAACATTCCACATATTAAGCAATATAAAATTAAAGTAAACAGATTGAAATCACCAATCTCCAGTGTTTTATTTTACTTCTAGGTTGGTTAAAGTACGACATCAATGAACTGATGAAAACATAGTGAAATAAATTAAGATTCACGAAGATATGTATGATCATAGGATTTGGTCTATTTAACTTTAAACAATGAAAAGAGAGAGAATATTGTTAACAGAACACGGTAAACTCAATGTTACATGAAAAAAAGAAAGTGTTTATTTATTTATTTATATTCAACGTACCACATTTGAAGAAGAAATTGGGCGTTCTGAATTTGTTCCGGAGTGCCAGTTATTGTAATAATACGATCTTCAACACCGGGTTCCTGCTTACTGATTTTAATGTCAGCGTTTGACTCATGACGAACTTGATTTATGCGACAACCGGACCTGCCCATGATCGCACCTATCATCTTATTTGAAAAAAAAGAAGATTGATACTCAGAGGTATAAAAAATAAAAAGATGTACAAACGAATTTAAACGCACAAACCTTGTTACTCACGGAGACCTGAGTGCTAGTAGTCGGAGTTAATATACTCATAGCCATACGGTTGGGTATCCTGAAGAAATAATGAAGAAAAAAACATACAAATCAAGTCACATATGGAAATAAAGAAACGTTTATTCATGAAATTAAAAATGCACCAATTATGGATTGTAAGAAAGTGGCTAACAAAAGAAATTTAACAAAAAACGAAAATAAAAAGACTTGTAGAAAACCAAAAGAAATAATGATGTACTTCAAGACCTAATTACTTTACTTGAAACAAACGAAAAACGAAAACAGAAATAAAAGAAAAAAACGCATATACACAGTGAAATTGAATGACCTATACGAAGGAACTTTTCCATTACGACAATCATAAAAATATACTTGATGCCCTTAGAAGATAACCTCGTCTGTCAGGCACAAGACAAATAATAACTAAAGTGACATATCGTCTGCATTCGTACCAAACAAGTCCACGTGATGGACAAGAGGCATAGCAGTGCATCCGTTCAATATCAGCCGCAGGAAACGACTCGTCGTGAATTACATATACACGGAGTAGCTGAACGGCTATTCAACATACTATACTCAAACATCTACGTACACACAATTACACAACAAGTGAACAAGCGTTCAAAACAACTCACTCTCATATGCACACATATTCACAAAAACATAAAACTTCAAACAAATTAATATCTTCCTGCACAAAGTTGAATTACTAGGAAATTCACATACATACACACAACGTAAAACAATTCATTCTGTCTTCATAGTATAATAAAAGAAAACTCTACTTCGCTCAGTTCGCACACTCACATGGCTAACATAAACAACAAAGTACACAATGAAACCTGAAATCATACTGACCACTGGTGTTTCATGTAACAGACAACACACTGGTAACATTTTGTCGCACACATATCAAATACATTGCATAAATATCAGCTACTCTAACGACATCATTCACGAACGTGAACAATGCAGTATAGTAGCTATGTGACTGACTACAGACACAGCAAAGCCAATCACAAACAAACATACAAATACACTGCTAAGAAAGACATAAGCACCTTAGCGAATCAACATCCCATGTGGCCTGCACGTCCTACCCAACGAGTACCTGTAATGGACAAGAGGTATAGCAGTGCATCCATTCAATCTCAGCCGCAGGAAACGACCCACCGTGAATCAACTATGCACGGGGCAGCTGAACGGCTACTCGCCATAACCAATCGACACAGCCCAAACAATACTAATACACACTCATATAAAAAGCATCAACATACAAAATCTACTCTATATATATGTACAACTGTGTATATACATACACAGTTTTGTTAGATAAAATGAAACGAACACATAAGGCATAGCTATTCTCAGTCAGGACACAGCTTCATGTATGTCGGTTGTGATGACAGGGTTTGGAAATAAAAAACCTGCATGTGCGACACGACAAATTATCTTTCAGCCACAAACAACTGTTCAGCACATATTATAAATGCGATGAACAGCTCCACGGCTAGTCATCACACACAAATAACAAACCTAAATTAGCACACATCACCAAATCACATTTGCACAAAAGCAAGCCTGTATATATATATATATATATATATATTTCCATTATTTTTTTATTCATGTACAGAAAGGAAAGAGCATAGCGCATACACACACTAGGAATTTGCATGACTTAATGTGTGCATTTCTCTACCAAGTCTTTCGGAGGATACAAAATCGCTCGAACACTACACAAACGCTATTTTAAACACAACGATCTATTGACCAACACAAAAACTATTTCTCGAAAATCCATCTCAAATCCACCATCAACATCAACGCTCAACACATACAAGACTAGCCCAAAAATTTATGTCTCTTACGCAGGCACAAGACAAATAATAACTAAAGTGACATATCGTCTGCATTCGTACCAAACAAGTCCACGTGATGGACAAGAGGCATAGCAGTGCATCCGTTCAATATCAGCCGCAGGAAACGACTCGTCGTGAATTACATATACACGGAGTAGCTGAACGGCTATTCAACATACTATACTCAAACATCTACGTACACACAATTACACAACAAGTGAACAAGCGTTCAAAACAACTCACTCTCATATGCACACATATTCACAAAAACATAAAACTTCAAACAAATTAATATCTTCCTGCACAAAGTTGAATTACTAGGAAATTCACATACATACACACAACGTAAAACAATTCATTCTGTCTTCATAGTATAATAAAAGAAAACTCTACTTCGCTCAGTTCGCACACTCACATGGCTAACATAAACAACAAAGTACACAATGAAACCTGAAATCATACTGACCACTGGTGTTTCATGTAACAGACAACACACTGGTAACATTTTGTCGCACACATATCAAATACATTGCATAAATATCAGCTACTCTAACGACATCATTCACGAACGTGAACAATGCAGTATAGTAGCTATGTGACTGACTACAGACACAGCAAAGCCAATCACAAACAAACATACAAATACACTGCTAAGAAAGACATAAGCACCTTAGCGAATCAACATCCCATGTGGCCTGCACGTCCTACCCAACGAGTACCTGTAATGGACAAGAGGTATAGCAGTGCATCCATTCAATCTCAGCCGCAGGAAACGACCCACCGTGAATCAACTATGCACGGGGCAGCTGAACGGCTACTCGCCATAACCAATCGACACAGCCCAAACAATACTAATACACACTCATATAAAAAGCATCAACATACAAAATCTACTCTATATATATGTACAACTGTGTATATACATACACAGTTTTGTTAGATAAAATGAAACGAACACATAAGGCATAGCTATTCTCAGTCAGGACACAGCTTCATGTATGTCGGTTGTGATGACAGGGTTTGGAAATAAAAAACCTGCATGTGCGACACGACAAATTATCTTTCAGCCACAAACAACTGTTCAGCACATATTATAAATGCGATGAACAGCTCCACGGCTAGTCATCACACACAAATAACAAACCTAAATTAGCACACATCACCAAATCACATTTGCACAAAAGCAAGCCTGTATATATATATATATATATATATATTTCCATTATTTTTTTATTCATGTACAGAAAGGAAAGAGCATAGCGCATACACACACTAGGAATTTGCATGACTTAATGTGTGCATTTCTCTACCAAGTCTTTCGGAGGATACAAAATCGCTCGAACACTACACAAACGCTATTTTAAACACAACGATCTATTGACCAACACAAAAACTATTTCTCGAAAATCCATCTCAAATCCACCATCAACATCAACGCTCAACACATACAAGACTAGCCCAAAAATTTATGTCTCTTACGCAGGCACAAGACAAATAATAACTAAAGTGACATATCGTCTGCATTCGTACCAAACAAGTCCACGTGATGGACAAGAGGCATAGCAGTGCATCCGTTCAATATCAGCCGCAGGAAACGACTCGTCGTGAATTACATATACACGGAGTAGCTGAACGGCTATTCAACATACTATACTCAAACATCTACGTACACACAATTACACAACAAGTGAACAAGCGTTCAAAACAACTCACTCTCATATGCACACATATTCACAAAAACATAAAACTTCAAACAAATTAATATCTTCCTGCACAAAGTTGAATTACTAGGAAATTCACATACATACACACAACGTAAAACAATTCATTCTGTCTTCATAGTATAATAAAAGAAAACTCTACTTCGCTCAGTTCGCACACTCACATGGCTAACATAAACAACAAAGTACACAATGAAACCTGAAATCATACTGACCACTGGTGTTTCATGTAACAGACAACACACTGGTAACATTTTGTCGCACACATATCAAATACATTGCATAAATATCAGCTACTCTAACGACATCATTCACGAACGTGAACAATGCAGTATAGTAGCTATGTGACTGACTACAGACACAGCAAAGCCAATCACAAACAAACATACAAATACACTGCTAAGAAAGACATAAGCACCTTAGCGAATCAACATCCCATGTGGCCTGCACGTCCTACCCAACGAGTACCTGTAATGGACAAGAGGTATAGCAGTGCATCCATTCAATCTCAGCCGCAGGAAACGACCCACCGTGAATCAACTATGCACGGGGCAGCTGAACGGCTACTCGCCATAACCAATCGACACAGCCCAAACAATACTAATACACACTCATATAAAAAGCATCAACATACAAAATCTACTCTATATATATGTACAACTGTGTATATACATACACAGTTTTGTTAGATAAAATGAAACGAACACATAAGGCATAGCTATTCTCAGTCAGGACACAGCTTCATGTATGTCGGTTGTGATGACAGGGTTTGGAAATAAAAAACCTGCATGTGCGACACGACAAATTATCTTTCAGCCACAAACAACTGTTCAGCACATATTATAAATGCGATGAACAGCTCCACGGCTAGTCATCACACACAAATAACAAACCTAAATTAGCACACATCACCAAATCACATTTGCACAAAAGCAAGCCTGTATATATATATATATATATATATATTTCCATTATTTTTTTATTCATGTACAGAAAGGAAAGAGCATAGCGCATACACACACTAGGAATTTGCATGACTTAATGTGTGCATTTCTCTACCAAGTCTTTCGGAGGATACAAAATCGCTCGAACACTACACAAACGCTATTTTAAACACAACGATCTATTGACCAACACAAAAACTATTTCTCGAAAATCCATCTCAAATCCACCATCAACATCAACGCTCAACACATACAAGACTAGCCCAAAAATTTATGTCTCTTACGCAGGCACAAGACAAATAATAACTAAAGTGACATATCGTCTGCATTCGTACCAAACAAGTCCACGTGATGGACAAGAGGCATAGCAGTGCATCCGTTCAATATCAGCCGCAGGAAACGACTCGTCGTGAATTACATATACACGGAGTAGCTGAACGGCTATTCAACATACTATACTCAAACATCTACGTACACACAATTACACAACAAGTGAACAAGCGTTCAAAACAACTCACTCTCATATGCACA